ATGTATTATATCATTTTGTAACTAAAAGCCACTTAAAGCCATCAAACTCTGACACAAAAAGAAAAAGGGACGATCAAAAATGTGCAATCCAAAGCTGATCAAATATCATGACAGTAATCATCTTGTAACATGCTCAATGTTACTTTATAAATTACAGCAGATATATACGGAATATTATGTTGTAGTAGCTTTCTGTGGCTTTGTATTTTGCGGCTTTGTTACGAGCAGAGGTGGAAAATTGATATCTCGCGAGACCGAAGGTCGAGCGAAATATCAATTTTCCAACGTTGCGAGTAGAAAAATACATAGTCTCAGAAAGCTACTACAACATAATTTTCCTTTTTATTATATACTCGTACCTTTTTGTTTTATTCAGTAAATGAAATGTAGTTATCAAGAAATAAATTCATGACTGACGGATGAATACGAATTCTTGCAAACCAGCCACGCCTTTAATAATTTTTGTTCCCGTTTCCAAATGCAACGTTATACAAAGCCAAGATCGGAAGCAACGTCAAAAATAGTCCGTCACTTCCATATATGGTACCGTATTTGTCACTAACATAATACAGAAATTTCTATCCGTGGAAGCGTATTTGCGCTTCAATAACTGTGTGTATTTTAGGGAGAAAATTTATAGGTATACAATAAGTTTTATTATTCTGTTTACGTTTTAATAGATATCAATCACATTCATATAGCAGAAAATACGTTTATTTCAATGACAACAAAGCAATGAAAACATATCAATGAAAACCCAGTAATGGCTACTTTGATGACAAATCATCTATGTAACATAGCAAAAATTAGATAGAGACGACAACATAGCATCGGCAACATATCGACCACAACACGTAATGACACTGTACAAATATCGAAGAAAACAAAACAATCACGACATAGAGATTACAACATGGCCATGACCACATATCAGTTTAAACAAGGCATCGACATGAAATTGTTTACAACTTAGCAGTAAACGAAAGAAATGTCAAAATAATGGTGACTACATAACAACAATTTTAACATAACAATGACATCATAGCATTGATGCCAATTTGCACTTCGGCTATATTGATGTCAATATAACTTTATAAATATAACGAAATAACAATAGCAGTATCAGAATAGAATAAAAAAGACATATATTGAAACACAGCAATGGCAACAAAGCTATTAATATTTAAGAGACTAACGATCAGTAGATATATAGAGGCATGTATAAGCATCTTTCTTGAAACAAGTCATACGCATACTTGCATAAGTAGGATACTATTTATATTCCAGTATATAAAACTCTATTATTGTTATTATCCCAACTCGTTTCAGGGATCATTGCCACCAAATCCAAAAAACATATTTTCCAACATACATATAACGCCATGTTCAAAAGTACTCAATACATTTTGCAATATCTAATGTAATGAGAAAAAATAGAAGAATACATGCTAGTATATTAATAAAAATAAATACCGCAAACCAACAATTTTTCTTTAAAAGTATGTGTAAGGCCATGTTTTAACATGGAAAAACTCCCCCCTTTGAGACCTCAAATTGTGAAAAATGCCCTATTTAGACCCTAAACACTTGTTTTTGTTAGCGAAATGGTGTTAAAAAGGTGATCACTTTTTCGGCGCCATCCCTTTGTCAAATAGAAAAATAGAAACATCAAGGGGGGATGTGCCTCCTTCCTCTAGGGTGTTTGAAGGGGGTCGTCAGACACCTCATCTCCAAAAAATAATTTGACGTGTGAGAGGCTAAAATGGCCTCAGGTCGACCTTAAGGTAACGTGTAACAAACGCTGAAAGCCTTTGACTCTATCTCAATCCATTGAGAAATTGCAGCACTTTGAAATCAGTTTTGATGGCAAAATCAACGCAAAATAGTGATTTTTGGCAATTTTGAGATGCCCCTTCGTTGCCATGGTAACATGAAATTAAAGATTGAATATGCCGTTACAAATGCTATGGTCCAGTCAACATTTATGCCAAGTTTGAACAGTATTGAAGTCTTTTTCATAGTTTCATAGCAATTTAACTTGTAACAAGAGGCTTTTCAATGAAAACAGCAATTTTTCACTATCATAGATGAATGGGCGGACGATCATGAACTTTGGTAGGCTTGCTAGAGATAAGAATATTAAATGTATTTTCATTGGAACATACAAAACAGTCGTTAAAATGAACAAAGTCTGTTTTTTATTATTATGATTGTAGCAAATGTACAACCAGAATATAAAAATAGCAATAAAAGGGACTAATATTGTAAAAATTTAGTAAAATGGTTTCTTTTAATACCTGGGAGTTAAGATACAATAGAAATATTCAAAGTCCCAGATAAAAACTGGAAGAAGTACACACATACTAAAATGAAAAATTGCGATGAATTTCAAAAAGACCGAATTCACGATTTTTTGTTATAAATACGCGTTGACAAAATCATGAATAAATTTGCATGGCATGTTGTTAAAGTGAACATTATTTATCAATTGAAGACTGATACTTGAATTTCAGACAGATATGAGGAAATTCACTAACATCATGTTCATGCGAGTCAAAGATATAAAAGCTTTATGAAAAGTGCAATTTATGTTTGAATATGTTTGCATTTCATTTCCTGCAAAAATCTCAATTTCGTTATTTATTACCATAGCGCGATGTGAAGATCATATCTATTTATAGCTTTCATGCACAGCAATAAATACATACATAACCCACTGTGTACTACTAAATAATTAATTTTCTGTAGAAGATACAAATGTAAGAAATAAATTACCAAATTTAAAGTTTATTTTTTTTTATTTTGTCTTTTATACTGCTTTTATATATGAAATTTGTTCCCGTTCTCATCCATTAAAATTATTTTAAATGCTAACCATAAACATATTTACGTTTTTATGTAATCTAATGTAACATAGTGCCTTTACTGAAATGAAATTGCAATAACATTGTTGCTAATACTAGACAATATTGCTAAAACTCCAAAGAATTAAGTTTATATTTGGTTATGTCAGGTTTTATTATATCAGACATAGACACACATACAAATATTGACAGATTACCTTGTATCGAAAATGAAAGTACAAGACGATTGATATATTTGTATGACACGAATTAGCGAGATAACAATGCCAATTACTATGCAAACAATAATCAAGATTTGTTTACCTTTAGTTTTCGCTACATATTACTGTAACACAAATGGAAAATTCTTACTCGTTTAACAACAAGATTTATTGATAAAAAAGTAAGGGAAATAAAGTAGTAATAGTAAGAAGAAAAACAAATTACAGTGAACATGATAAATTTAAATGGTACTAAACAAGTTTGAAAATTGGAAAATGTTTCTATTAGTGTTAAAGTGATATTATGCTCATGTCTTTTTCATTGTCAAGTTGTGATATTTTGAATAAATACTTCAGAAGGTTGTCTCTATGATAGTGATTGACCAATAAAATGATTTAAACACAAATCTGCCTAAAATATACAAAAGACTGCCTTACTCTTTATCAATAGAACGTTACAGGTAAAGTCAGATGGATATCAAATGGTACTAAAGTTTGAAAATAGGAAAATGTTTATGTAAGTGTTAAAGTGACATTATGCTCTTTTTATTTTTATTGTCAAGTTGAACTGACTATATACTTCAGAAGATTGACTGTTAAGATAGTGCTTGATGACCAATAGTTAATATTGTTAATGTTTAAGATACAAATCTGCCAAAAAATGTAAAAAGACTGCCTTACTCTTTAACAAAAGAACGTTACGGGTAAAGTAAGATGGATAGTTATAATTTTTATGCCACGGAACTTACTTGTCTTTCACTCGAACTAAATTCAAAGAATTATATCAAATTATAAACTTATTTTGACTTTTTATCGACTCTCGAATGCTTTGTTGATAAGTATTGCTAAATTTTCCAATTTGTTCTGAATGAGGGTTTATCAAATCTGAAGTATTATACATGTTGGAGTTTAATACGTACTATTTGTTGTAGATCGTTTCCTAATAGAATTATACAATTTGCGTTCAAAGAATAGATGAAATTCGTCCTCAAGTCTTTTACATGTGATACAACATGGTAAATATTTGAAAATTTAAAATCCTGTTCGAATCAAGGCAATTCGAGCAACAAAATTGAGACTCCTTGGCTTATTGCTGTGGTATTCTTTGTCCAAAGTGCATGTGAATGCTTATTATTCCATTTACATGAATGTATAAGACTTATATGACCGGCACCTTTGTGCCGAGAATGGTGCAAATATGTTTTGCACAGATTTCTATTAAAAGTTGATAGAACAGTCTATGGTTTTATCACTTGGACTTGATAAATGATGATGATGAAAATGACGACGACGACGATGATGAGTATGATTACAATTTAGAACCTGATGACGATAATGGTGATGAGGATTAAACATTCCGCTTTTGTCTTGTATTCTATTGTTACATTAGACACTCTAAATACTATGTACTTTCCACAAATAAAACAAAAAAATCAAACAGAAATTACATGTATAATATATTAAGTTACTTTAGTCTTTAAGAAAGATTAAATTATTTATGGATATCTAGTTTCGTGATGTGTAAATGGAAATTATCAACATGTGTCAATTGATGAGATACTGTATGGTAATCTGTGTGCAGACTTGTGAACATGATATGTCAATAAATCTGTTTCAATACATGATAAACAACATTTCTTCTTGTATATTCTATCTTTTTATCCTTTCTACAATCAGCATGCATGCTTAGTTTTAAACATAATTATTTATTTTAATACTTTACATATATTACATTTTATATGTATATAATAGTTACTTAAAATGTAAAGGGGTTATCTCCCTAGATAACAAAATACAAACATATATTGCAGGATAGCTATTTTAATTAGATTATAAAGTAAGTATATTGCAAGATTTCATTTAAACATAAACAATGAAAAAAGAAAAGAAAACAAAATAGAAATGCAACTTAATAAGACAATTTTCAGATAAATACTAAGCAAAGGAAAAACAGACAAAAAATAAGACAGTATTTTTATATTTAAACTGACACTTAAAGCAAATTTAGCAGTAGTCTAGAAAATAACTATTTCAAGCTAACCAGAAAAATATTATATGTATATTATATACATGTATTTGTTTGATAACCTTTTGACGGATCTGCATATACAAAGATTCGAAGATCAATGGAACATCTTGGAGTCAAAGTTTGAAAAAGTGCAATAATGCTCGCAAATAAAGAAAAGGTGATGGTTGTCTTCAATTAGGCCACAACTACATTATGGAGATGATACTATGTTTTTTAATTAAGAGAGCTGCATTTCGTTCTAAGTCTTGTATGAAGAATTTGTGACCGTCTATCTCCATAATAGAAGTGTCGGGTAGTTTTAATTTTGTCTACGTTCAAAGAGCTTTTGAAAGAATTTAATGACTGTAGCTAACGGGTTTTAATCGGTAGAAATTTCATTCACGAAGTGCCGTTGGTAGAAAGGAGTTATAGTATAGAAAAGTTCTTGTACGAATTTTATCAGTATTCAGAGAATTACGTAAGTTATATGTAGTGTTCAGACCAACAAGATCTGGTACAATAGATGATAGGCAGGGTTGGGTGAGACAATTTTTCATTTTATAAAGTTAAATAAGCTTATGCTTCCTTCTAATATCAGAAAGTGATTCCCAATTTACATCATTGTATAAGACAGCTAACGATACCAGCTTTGTTGCACCCGTCACAATTCGTGCTGCTTTATTTTGAATTTTGTCTAATTCTTGTTTGTCGTAGGATGTACAATTCTCCCAACATTACATCAGCATATTCAATAATAGGACGAATGAAGGCTGTATATGTGATTTCTAAAGCCTGCGGTCTAGTTTGAATTTAAGTTTACGCACCATGTTTATTCTATTTCTATTCCTATGTCTTTTCTTTTATATAATTGATATGGGAATGCCAAGAGACATCGTCAGAAAAAAAACACCCCTAGATGTTTGTAGTCAGAAACTTGAGGGCTTTGTTGGCAATACATGGAGAAAGGTGTGTGATGTACTTTATTAATTCTTCTTGAGATGATCATTAAAATGAACTAGCCATGTATCTCCCCAAAAACAAATCTTTTGTATGTCAGTCTGTATGGTATCATGTGTGTCAGTAGGTGTTGCGACTATCAGATGGAGACTAGTGTCATATGCAAAAAGATTGATGTTGAAACCAATATCTTGAACAATATCGTTGATATATACAAGAAATAGAAGAGAATTGATCCTTAGGGACTCTAGATGCAAATGTAACACAGAATTCCAGAGACATGAAGCTTCACTAAAAAACCTTGGTGCCAAACTTCATCAAATGCTTTTACTTATATCAAACAATACGACCCTCACCTCCAGGTCATCGTCTAAAGCCTTGCAAAAATTATTGATAAGATACTCGAGTTGGTTTACAGTTGATCAAATAATAATAAATAATCTTTGCATACAAATGTAATCAATTTCTCACGTTCTAATGTTACCTAGAATATCGTGCTAAAGGCACACGTCAATTTGTCATGTCGAATGTCGTCTTAATGTTTAATTTCGAACTCAGTATTTACTGGGCTTTTCAATTGGAAACTACTCTATTTGAAAGACCCCTGTAAAGAAAGACTTAGATTTCTATTGTATGTTTTTATTTACGAACGCAAATTTTTGGTTCATTAAGTTTAACATTCGGCATTCCATGTCCAAATTACAGTTAAAATAATATATTTTTACACATGAATTTTGAATTGAATAAACTATTATAAAGTAGAAGTAGAAAAGAGCTATATAAAATGAAACGATAAAGAAAGTAATGACAAAATATAATTGCTGTTTATAATGTAACAGATTTGTAAAAATTTCTATTCGGTAGATATACGACAATCAGTTCAAAATAAAAGTTTAAGAAAAGACATGTTCTAAACATTTAACGTGATGATAAGCAAATAGTTCTGTTAACATGTTTTACAGATTTTCAGTCACAATAACTCAATCGTATTATACATATGATAACGCCGATAAAAAGGTTTATTTTAATTTCAAAATTGAGACTTTAAAAAACAACACTCGTCAAACCTCGTCACCTTTGGTTTTTATAGATAATTTTGCAGCATCTAATTATATATATTATGCGGAGTGAAAACTAAGCACTTGCTGGGTATAATTGCCTGTTTTGTGCTGGAAATGAACATTTTATAGACTTGAATACTTTATCACAAATAGGAAGTCTTAATATGCATAAATATTTTCTTATCAACTTCTTTAAAAATCTTAATATGCATAAATATTTTCTTATCAACTTCTTTAAAAATGTTTCGATTTCTATTTACTTATAAGAACTCCACTGAACGAGTTCATGATATAGACATTTTCTACATGTAATACGTGACGATTGGTATGTCCACTTGTACATGCCACCCAGACCTGTCTCTCGGTTTCAAGTTTAACAATGGCTGATACCGATCCACAACTATATGAATGACTATTGTAATTTATCGATTTTGCAACAAATGTACCGTCCAAGACAAGTCCAATAGTTGAATATTTTCCATTATAAGCACATACATGGACAGTAAACAGATACACGCCTTCAATAGAAGCTGTGAAGACTCCCGTGGAATTGTTATATCCGGATCCCTCGTTTGTTATCACGCTTTCAAATACAAGGATCTCGTGCGTACGGTCAAGAATCAAATCTTTGACATTGTGAGCATGGAATGCGACAGTCGGCTGTAGTAACTTTTCTGGAAAAAAAGATATAAAAATCACAAAATGTTAAATTACCAAAACAATTATAGAAATTACATATCTTTTTATCAACAATTCAGAATAGTTAATAGATATAGCGAATAACGTTGCTGAATAGGCACTGGTTTTACCTAAAAATTTATTTTCAAATATTAATATAGAATAAATGCAAAGAAATATGAATGCCCAAAAATCAGCAGTGTAATTAGTTGTTGCTTCTTTTTTTATTATGAACGTATTCAATAAGGGGATCAAAGTTTTTGGTCCAAAGATTGCATCGGCATAAGTATGCATTTACACTGTCACATTGCGCACGTACATATGCAGATACAGACTATCTACAGATTTTACTACAGATTTTACTCAAAAATACAATTACTTTTAGTTTCAGCCAGGATGTTTATTTCGTTCTTCATTTCTGTCTTGAAGTTGTTTTTCAGCTCTTCAAATTTGATTTCAAAATTTTCTGAAACAAAAATAATTGTATGTATCAAAATATCATACACACAAACTCAATGCGCATTTATATAAAAGTTTTCAAAAATGACAGGTTATAACTGAGAACATTGCAGTTAGAGAGTATATATAAATATTGACATCACATCTACGATTTATTTCTGTATTCTATATCAATACCGTACAATTTATACTCACAAAATCAAATAACAATTACATGAATTTACATCCGATGTACAGAATTTGTATTAATAATATTATATACAGTAATATTTAGGGCAAACATGAATGCAAATTCTTGGTTAGAAAGTGAGTGATAAAGTCGGTCTTATTCATATTTGACACATATGTTGCTTCATTTGTAAGATACGTATAAAAATCAGTAAAACTCACCTTCTTTCTTCTGTAATTCCTCAAATTTCGTCACAATCTCTCCCGTTATATTATTTCTTAAGTCCTCAAACTTATTTTGATTCTCAGTAGCTGTTTTCTCAATGTTTACAAGAGTATGTAAGACAGTTTCTTCCGTTTTCTTTATTTCGTTCTGCATTGTTTCTACTTTAATCTCTGTGCGTATCATTTTCTCAAGGAGTTTTTCTTCGTACGAAAACTTTGAACAAACGGGTTCAGTTGCCATGGAGACACGTGGTTCAAAGAGAAAAAGTATTGCAGAAAACGCAAAGAAAACAGAAGAAAACATTTTTACTTTCTTTACATGCAATAATTAGTAGACTTATGAAAAAGATTTCATTTTGTTTCTTAAAGCCACTTTAAGCCAAAATCCCTGACACAAAAAGGAAAAGGGACGTTCAAAAATGTGCAAATCAAACTAACAACATTTGAAACATGATTAATGTTACTTTATAAATTTCAGCGAACATGTTTTTCTTTCTTCTTTTTACGTATAAATAGAGATCAATCACATTCATAAAGCAGAAAATACCTTCATTTCAAAGACAACAAAACAATGACAACATATATATAACAACGCCGTTATGGCAACTTTGACGACAAATCGTCTATGTAACATAGCATCAATGACTTAGAGACGTCAACATAACAACAGTAACATACCGATCACAGTAAGGTATTTACAATGTACAAAATATCGATGAAAACATAGCAATCGTGACAATGAGATGACAAAATAATCATGGCCACATATCAGTTTAAACAAGGCATCGACATGAAAATGATTTCAACTTAGCAGTTTACGACAGCAATGTCAAATAGCGGTGACTACATAACAACAATTTTAACATAGCAATGGCATCATAGCATTGATAACGTAGCGATCCCAATATTTGCACTAAGATAATAGTGATGTCCATTTAACTGTTTTGATATAACGATGGAATCATAGCGGTAAAAATATAGTAATAACAATTGCAGTATCAGTATAGAAAAAAGACTTGTATTTAATCAAAGCAATGGCAGTCAAGCGACTATTAATATTTTAGAGACTTCCGATCAGCAAATATAAGAGGTAAAGGCATCATACTTTAAAGAAGTCAAACACATGCTTGTATAAGTAGATTGCCTTACAAAGGTAGTGCTATTTTTATATTCTACTCTATTACATAAAAATATATTATTGTTATTATCCCTACTTGTTTCAGGAATCAGTGCCACCAAATCCAAAATAAATATTTTCAAACATACATATAACGCCATGTTCAAAGTTACCCATACATTTTGAAGTTTTTACAATATCTAAAATGATAAGAATAGAAAATATTCGTCAATACATGCTAAATTGAAAGTGAATGGAGCGTTAAAACTTTTGAACTATCCCTTTATTAACATTATTGTATTGAGTTAACGAGTTTTCGTGGAGGGATTGTTATTGCTTTAATTAATTACTGAAACCAGATATATCACGTGTTTGTTTTTTTTATACTTAAGATACTTAGGAAACAGCAAAATAACATGCTTAATTGTAATTGCCTTATATTGACAGTTCAAGTATATGGTATTATAATTGGCAGTGTTTTCATCATTCTGTGTAAGTACTGAACGGAACCATGAAATTACAGTTCATGGTAAGATAAATTAGGACGAAAATTAAGATTTGTGGTTAGTATTATAATCATATGATACAATATTATATCGTAAACAACTTAGGGAGAGTCTAATTGGCATGTTTGTAATCAGAAAAAACGTATGACGGAGTTCAAAATATGTAAGCATTGGAAGTCGCATTTCTTTCTTAGCTTATTTTTGCGTCGTTACTGTTCGTTATACTTATTTTCAATGCTAACTTTATACATCTGTATTATGTAACCTAATGTTACGTAGTGCCTTCTATCGAAAATTGCAATGTCATTATTGCTACTTTTTAAATTCCACAGAATTAGAGTTCATTGAAATTGAAATGTCAGGTATAGTTATGTCAGATATAGACACATATACATGTGCAAGTATGCATTTTACCATGTGATCGACAACGAAAGCACAAGTCGATTGTTACTAACCAAGGCATGTCTCTATGTCAAATATCAAGTGTGACACATACAAGGGAAATAACAATTGACATACAATGACAATTAGTATGCAAAGAATAATCAAGATTTGTTTACTTTTAGTTTTGTCGGGTATTTTAAGTTTTTGTTGAAGATAAAATAATAGCATAAATTGAAATTTTTGACAAGTTTAATAACAAGATTTAACAATAAAAAGCGTGAGGTAAATAATATATTGATAACAATAATAATAAGAAAGAAAGACAAAAGAATACCACAGTGAACATGATACATTTAAATGGTAGTAAACAAGTTTGAAAATAAAATACAATTGATTATGTTACTGTTAAAGTGATATCGTGTCACTTGTGACAACAACAGTACTGTCTTTAGTAAACTCCGGTTCGTTGTGGATGTTTACAACATCACAAGTTGGATATGTATTGAAATGAAATTTGTCAACAATGTGTTAATATTTGTTAATCTTATTCAATAAAATGCTCATAGCTTTTAAACCTTTCCCTAGTAAGCACTGTATATTTAAATAAAAGATCCCTATAAATAAACACAATCCCTAGATAATCAAAGTCGATAACAACTTCAATATGTTTTCATTATTCACTTGATTACAAAAGTTAAATGAATCTTTTTGTCTCTTGGATGTGTGTGCGTGTGAAACATTATGTATTAGTTTGGTCAGAAAGGTCTGTGTTGCCTAAAAGTAGCACATTTAAATCAATGTCAACATTATTTAAGTTGCGAAGTAACTTTGTCGAGCAGTGTCAAACTGTAGACACACGAAGAAGAAATAATAGCTATTTTCCATTTGGCCACAAAGGCATAATGGCGATGCAGATATGTTTTTCAAACACAAATGGTAATTTAAAGAACAACACTTTGTTCGACGTCTTGTATGAAGAATTTGAAGTTTTCTTTCACCAGAAAAATAATAATTAGGTGTGTGTTGTTTGTTTTTCTTATAGTTGTGTTTTGTGTTAGAGTGGGAAGGTTGTGGACATCGTGTGGAAGATTATACCATTTCCTTATTGCAGTCAGAAAATATCAGTTGAAATTATTGTTGTTCTGGCATATGTACCCGGAATGTTGTCAATATTTCTTAGGTTATACCTGTCATTAGTTGTTGTTGGGAGAATTGAGAAAAGACAATCTAGAGCTAGTCCGTTTTGAATTTTATAAGTAAGATCATTCTATTGCCTTTCTTCGAGAAATTTCCAGTTAATTTCATTTGAAAGATTCGAGTGAAACAAGTATTGTACATTCGAAAGCAATACGAGCACATTCGTTTTGGATTTTAATTAGTTCGTCTAATTCACTTTTTAGAGCATTTCCCCGTATAACATCAGCATATTCAAGCGATGGGCGTATGAAAGACATGTAAATTGTCTCTAGTGTTTTTCTATTGAGGCAGAATTTAACTTTTCTCATAATATTTATCCTATCCCCTGCTTTATTTGTTAAAATGTGAGTGCGAGTGCAGTTATTTGAAATAAAAAAAGTTAATAAACAAGTAAATAATTCACCAAAATTACTGATTAAGGTTACAGTATACCCCTGTAATTATTTACTATTTTAGTAATTATTTCTACAATCTCCCAATGCAAAAGGACAATAAGATTGTCATCCATATTGATTAGTAGAAGACATTCAGTAACTACAGATTTATTTAAACCGCAGCCTTCAAACTTCATTTGAGCCGCGTCGTGACAAAACCAACATAATGGGTTTGCGACCAGCATGGATCCAGACCAGCCTGCGCATCCGCGCAGTCTGATCAGGATTCATGCTGTTCGTTATCAGTTTCTCTACTTGAAATAGACTTGGTAAGCGAACAGCATGGATCCTGATCAGACTGCGAGGATGCGCAGGCTGGTCTGGATCCATGCTGGTCGCAAACGCACTATTTTGGTTTTGTCATGACGCGGCTCAATTATGATGATGACCCTCATAGTGTAGAAGGCCCTATTAATTTGGCGTCGATGCATGAAAGTCAAGGTCACAGTGACCTAGGATGTGAAAACTGTTTATGCCCACTCATCAACCTTCTTACTCATCATATATAATTATAATCTATAAGTTACCACATGGTGTAAATATAAATCAAATTTTGGTCGAAGCGCACATTGTTTTTGTCCCAGAGAAACGAAATTGTATCAACAGTTTCTGAATGAAACAGGATGTGATCAGCATCTTTAAAAAGTAAGAAGGGAAGTACATGTATTTGTAAAAAAAGAGAACGTGCTGTATTGAACACTAAATGTGTATAAGATATAGTAAACTTCTCATCAGGAAGCATTAAAATTTAAAATAGTTCTTGTTTTTATACAGAAGATAAGAACGACGCACAATTATCATCTTTTAATACAGCATGTATTATTTGTTTCATTCTTTAAAGATAACTCAAAGAGTCCAAACAAAATATTTATTGTAAAACATATACACAAGTACATGCACTAACATATGAAATACTCGTAACAACATTTTAAACATAATTATCAAATATCATCATAAATAATTTACCGGTATTTAAATAACAGGTGTTATTTCTTAAGAAATAATAACAATAAATGGAATTATTCATTTTATTTAAGATGGTCCGAATCAGCTGGGCGGGAGGCAAACAAGTTGGAAGCGTTATTTTTCAAATTCAAAACGTTTCAATAGATCACCCGTCAAGACATCCAAATAAGCTATATATTTACACTTTTCTATAAACTTACTTTGATCACGAAGGTACGTAATGATTCAACGAAACAGGTCTTTTATCTAATTATTTTTTCTCCTTTTTTTGTTAAAATCTTGGCTTACTGCCAAGTGGTGTTCTTTACACTGTAATATCTATGAGTCGTATGCCGTCCTTACTTAAAACATTTATGATAACTGACCATACATTGAAAGTAAGCTTCTTGGTTTCGCTATTCTTCTTCTATACAGTACAGCTATTGTAATAGCTAATACAACAATTGTCGGTATGCTAATTGTCAACGCCAACGCTATTGGCCAAAACGAATCAGGCGCTTGAAAGTCGTCTGCAAGCGTGTGCGTTAATCTACTCGAATCTGTAGTGTTGCCATATAATTCTGTTGAATTAGCGGTTGAGTTCATGACAACTAGATGTTCATTGTGCGATGTTTCGTTTGAATTAAAACCTGACAGAGTGCTACCTTCAGTGGATTTTGTTGCAATTGTCGATCCGGACGTCATTCCGAAAGTATTCTCTGCAGTTTTTGAACTTGTGTTTTCATTTCTTGGCTCAGCTGAAGACGTTTGCAAGGAACTATTTATGTATGCGGTTGGTATATTTGTTGTCAAATACTTCTCTGTAGCTTGAGCAATTTTGTCTGTTTCTGTTGTTTCTTTATTTTCCATTTTTGTAGTCTTTGTTGTTGTTGTTGTTACTTTAACGGTCGTTTTTGAAGGCGTCATTGTTGTTGACAATTGTGTTGTTGTGGGTATACTCGTCGTCGTCGTTGTTGTTGTTGTTTTTGGTGTTGTTGTAGAAAAACTAGTCTCTTCACTGATTGGTTTTAAGGTAGCAGTTTTAGTAACGGATTGTTCCAGTTTAGTTGTTGGCTCAGTTGGCACCGGGGTGTCATGTGACAGTGATGTACTTCTCGTTTCATTTAATGACATTCTAGTTTGAGGTTTCACGAAAGGGAAAAGCGAATTTGACCCTTCTTGCAAATCGCTGGTATCGGATGAAGATGTGCTATCTACACGATGGACAGTGTTTGAAATATTTTGATGAACAGCTAGCGTGTGTGAAACGGAGATCCATATGATGAATGTCCATGCCTGGAAAACATAATGAATATGAATAGTCTTGACATAATGTTTAATATACATGTAGTTTATACATGTATGATTTATAACTGTTATTACTATTGACCAAACTTGACCAACATGTTACATTATATTATAAAGCACGATCAACTTTAAGTATGCTGTACAAACAGATTCGATATACATGTACACGTGTGAGTATTTGTCTGTAGAACCGCAATGATCATTGTTATATTTTTAAAGACTGGACTTTAACTTACTTGCCCCTAGGGTTCAAATCGCGACTGGAACTTCCTTCATGTAAATGTGAGGAATATATCCAGCTAGCCTTCGGAAGGCTTATAATAGTTCAACTTGGGGATCAGCATGTGCCTTAAATAATGTACAGATGGAGACCTAAGTTCTTTCTTCACTAATATAAGTAGGAAGTCGCCATATGACGAGCTGAGTTTTTTCCTCCTCTAATGAAGATAGAAAGTCATATGAACATTACAGTGTTGCTTTGATTTTAAAACCAACCAAACAAAACATCCGTAAAATTTGCATAGACTACAAGGATGTATTTCAAGAGATTTGACCGGTCCTGAAATATTGTTCCATAGCAGTAAGTCAAAGAACCTTAAACTTTAATTTTATTTATTGATTTAATTTATTTTGACACTTTTTTGTATTTCTTAACACATGCAACAAGCCTACAATAAATAAGAAATGACCACTATGATCACTTAAATAGTTTAAATTCTTGGAAAGAATTACTATGTACTTGAATCTCGAATCCCATGTTATAAGATTCTCATTAAACGCTGGTAATTATGCTGTGGTTTAAATGTACGTGTTTTTTTTTTTTTTTTTTTTTTTCCTTTTTTTATTTTGTAATCATGCTTTTGTTATACAGTTATATATTGTATAATTATGTGAAATAATTAGGTAAGCATATACCTACAATATTTAAATGTAAACCGTTGTATGACATTTACTTAATCCTAAATATCGCACGATTCACTCAAAATATAAATGATTTCATTTACATTCTCACAATAACATGATTAAACTTACTTTCACGCTTTTATCCATAACTGAGCTCCTAAATTTCATCTTTAAATTCGTTTTTAAAATTCATTTTCAACATTTTAAAGTTAAATTATGACGTAATATTATGGTTAATAATGTGACTAGCCCGAGTTTTAGACCGCATTACTAACATATGATTACCGTGTATCTAGAGGCCAGGCAAGGTTCTGGAAATAAAAGAAGAAGAACATTTTATTAACGTACAGACATATTATATCTCATATGAATAGTCAAAGTTTACATCTGTTAAATAGTTACAAAATTATAGATTAACATTCTTAAAATAAAACTCGTCTACTTTAAGCTGTTTATGTTAGATGGAGATTATGTTGAATTGAGATACTAGTAGGCTCTTTGTTGTCAGAAGTAAAGGATTTCTATTACTGGCCCGTTGATGTTTTAGCCCGTACAGTACACTTTAATCTTTGTGTCTGTCCGCATAACTCAATAGAGAGAGCATCGGGTAAGTAACTAGCTAAACAACTTCCTAACATGAACGAATCCAAAATTCTAGCAGGGATTCGAATCCTACAGTGGTGAGTTGCAAACTGTTGCAAATCAGCGATACGATACGATGTGTCTTAAAATCATTCTATTGACAAAAGATACTGTCAGTGAACCGAAAGCCTCTTGTTATAGGTTTTATACGAACATGTTATAATACCAACTCGGCACAATATCGCCCAGTTCCATCAGAATTGATGTCAATTTAAGTACAGTAGATTAACATATTTTCACTTATCTTATTTATGCTTTCACAAAAGTAGATGAAAATTTCGGAGCTGAATATCACAGAACATAATGTTGGGAACATGAATTAACGTACATATATATGCAAATGGTTGGATCCTTCGGGCGAGGCCTCATTGCTCCGTGATCTCGAATATCGAGTCTCTCTCACCGCTGATTCAGAAATCATGCGGGATAAGTAGTCGGTCGCATGCGGAGAAATATAGGTAACTATACTGGTTAATTATCCGGGAAAGTCTGTGGGAAAGTCATGGTGGATCAACCGCTTGAGATATGACCAAAACTGCTGTTAAAATCGGAAACAAACAAACTTGTCTGTGAGTATTTTACTTTGACATATTTTTAAATCAATGTTGTATCAGTTTATTGAACAATTAACCTACTTACTGCATTCATTAGTTAGTACAAACAATAGTTTATGCAGAAAATTGTTACTTTTTTTTCTTCTGTCTTAATAAAAATAGTACATGTTTTCTATATATGCCTTCTTAAAGCTGAATTGTATTGCAATATTTTCATTTCGATTCGGGCCTCATAACTAAGGTAAACCATTAATTAGTGAGAGTGGAGAAGATAACGAACAATTTTCTGTCATTGGGCTTAACTTCCTTCAGATTCCAGCATCACTGCGCACACTGCATTCCAGGGCGTACGCCTAGATAATGTCTAACGACCGTTTACATAAGGACGCTTGAAATTTATCCTGTAACCCACACACGTTTTAACCGTATGATATGCAGTATGTCGTGTTAAATGCAGTTAATTATAAGTCTAGATGAGTTAATGTCGATGTACGGTTTGATAAGATATAAAATGTATCACATAATGAGGCATGCAATGTGCCTTTTTACACGTTTTTTTTTTTTTTGCATTCAAAACTTAAACGACCAGAGTCATTTTGTATTTCTTCATTTATATTTCGATCTATCTGTATCATTTTTGTATTTTGTGTTTACTGTTTGGGCACGCAAAAAATAAACTGTTTTAGAAACCATTTCATTACAAAACCCAATCCGCAAAGCAATTAAAACTCCCTTCCCCGCAAAAAAATATTGTATACCGACCAAGGGAGCCACCACTACAATAGAGGGTTAATGGCCGACATTTACATAGTCCAAGGGCTTCTGCAAACGTTAACCTGCTAAAAGGAAAATGGTTAGCCTTTGTCACAAGTATATTGCCACACCAGTCTCACCATCTATATAACAGATTACTCACATGGTGAAACTGGTCTGGCAATATTAGAGAGAGAGGACTGACTGTTACATTATAGCTGATCATTTTTATTTATTTATTTATTTATTTATTTATTTATTTATTTATTTATTTATTCTCTCTAATTTGATTAAACTGATGTCGTTTTTATATATTATCCCATAAAAATAACAAACTTTGATAAATTAATCCTGGACCGACTTTACTAGCTGTTGGTTTTCAGTTAGTGCAGACTAACGCAGATCACAAAACGTTACGTGGTATAGGCACAGTGAAATGGAATACATGAGGGCACGTGCCAGTACTGTTGTTATAATTCCAGTTTGCTGTTGTCAGCAGGCTACAGAATATTATAAATTTGACACAAATATCTTGATAAGATTTTTATCGCAGAAAAGATCAACACCCAATTTTTATTTTTATAAACAAAGTAATGATAATCATATAAAAATAAAGTAATACAATCTTTATGTACAATACATTACCAAATCGGCCCCATATTTAGTTAAGAATAAGTCTTACCTTAACGTGTTTTATACCAGAATTTTAATAGCATATAAATAATGAAATAATAAAAGGAATGAGAGAATTAATTGAATAATTAAATTATGATTTTGTAATAGAATGAGGCTAAAATAGTAGTAATCAAAACAAACAGAACAGAACATAATCTTCATTAAACAAAACATAGTACACGAACACTGAAACATATTTTATCTGCTTATTATCAACAAGTTTTTTTCAAATTTGAACGATTAAAAAGCAAGACACAGAACAGTACAAACATTTATTATCAACAACTGTTAAATTAATAGTAAGTGACGAGTTTTAGCAATACAATACAACACATGACAGTTAAAAATTATAAGATAAAACAAACAATACTTTGTAAACAGACATTTTTTAAATAAAAAAACAACAACATTTTTAACAATAAAAGTGATAGATTTTTAATCAGAGCATATATTATCAAGAAATTGTATCACATCATAAGTTAAAAAATCTTTGATATTACTACAGCAGCAAATAAATTATATTGAAGATTATTGTAAATCTGTTAAGATGAAGATAAACTTAAGTAAAACGAAAATCATTGTTTTTAGAAATGGCGGTGTTTTGAAACAAACTGAAAATGGTTGTTTATTAATGAACCTATTTTACAAATATTTAGGTGTATTTTTCACACCAAAGTTAGTATGATCTAAAATACAAGAGATGCTTGCACTACAAGGAATTAAAGCTTCTGCTTGTATATTCAATTTTTAAAGACAATTTGGTCACATTGATCCTATTGATATGTTCAAAATTTTTTATTCAATGGTAAAACCTATATTTTGTTATGCGTCAGAAATCTGGGGTTATAATTATGTTGATAAGATTGAATCTGTACAAGTTAAATTCTGTAAACAATATTGTGGAAGATTACCTCTCTGCACTATCTATATGACAAATTGTGTTAAATACTTGACACGAATGGGAGATCATAGGTACCAACAACATTGTTATTTGATGTTAAAACGACTACACGAATCTGGACGGAAAACATAGACTGGCAACATTAAAGATATGCTTTTTCAATTTAGTTTTGGATACGTATGGATCTCACATGATGTTGGTGATTACTTAAATTTCATTAATATGTTTAAGCAACGCTTATTTGATTGTTATTTACAAAACTGGCATAATGTTGTTGATTCTTCTCCAAAAGCATTTTATTACAAGTACTTTAAGACTTTACTTAATGTTGAACGATATTTAAGTTTAGATTTAGCATATAAGTATAGAAGAGCTTTTTCTAATTTTCGCTGTTCATGTCATAATCTTATGATAGAGAAAGGTAGACATATTGGAATAGATAGAGATCTAAGATATTGCTTTCATTGCCTAAAGACAAATACATTTTTGTATTTATGTTATTGGGGATGAATATCATTTTTTTCTTTGAATGTTCACTATATAACAATATCAGAGCTGTCTATTTTAAAGATACATGGTTTCATCACGATTCCCACCATTTATTTTATTCTCTCATGTCATCAACAATAATAAATGAAGTAATATCTATTGCTAAATATATATATATTATGCAATGAATGTAAGAAAGGAAGAAGAACTAAATACTGTATAAGTATTTACAAATTCAATTCATTACATCTAGTTACTATTAAATGTATTTGCAATTTATCACTCTACTGTTTGATTGTATTGTTGTATTTTGGGCCTTAGGCCTATATTACTAGAAATAAACTGAAACTGAAGCTAATTAGCAGAACAGAACAGAACAGAAACTTTATTACTTGGTTTAAGCATAAAAAGCTCATCACCATATTAAATATACAAATACAACATATAATACATAAATGACACATGACATGAATATATATAATTACAAAATAATGGTTAATGTGATGTGAGAATGTTTAATTTGAGATACGAAATTACTTAAAAAGCATATGAATACATGTATATAATACACAAGAATTGGATTATCTTTACCAAACATTATCAATTTAAGCTACAATACATTTTCTTTTATGATATGCCTATCAATAGAATACAAAAAAAGGAAACTCTGACAAATGAAGGGGGATAACTTAGGTAACTTTACATAACCAGTATTTTAACATTTACTTCCCCTTAATAATTCATGATCAATATTAATAGAATTCATTTCTATATGAAAAATGAATACATTTACTGATTTTGTACGTTTTTTTATATATAAGAAAAGAAAAGAAAAACCCACACAAAACAGACCAATACCCAAAACAACTAACACTAGACTTAATTATAAGGATTAGTTTTGTCAAAACATTTTATCATGGTATTTATATTTTGTTATGTGTTGAAAAACAGATATATTTAATTTGAGAAGATACAAATATTAATAAATAAATAAAAAATATATGTATATATGTACAATTTCATATTCACATATAACTTAACAAATCTACATGATGAATATACAATGCGCATTTAACAGTTACAATGATACTTTTTTCATTTTTTTAAACAACAGAAAAAACAGAGAAAGAGAGTAAAGCTTACATGTCAGTATATTATAACAAACTATCCCTCAATTTAAAAGCTTTATCACAGAATATAGCTAAATTTTTCAATTCTTTCTTGCTACCAGTTTGCATTAATGAAATGAATTTAAACATACTTGTGTTGCAATAATAGTATCTTGGAACGTATTGCTTTCTTAACTCAGAATATATCGGACATTTAAGGATAAAGTGAAATTCATCTTCTCTATCATTCATATAACATAAAGTGCACTTTCGTTCATTCCTTGGTACATTATTATGTCTTCCTAACTCGATATTAAGTTTGTGTGACGAGAGTCTTATTTTTTGCTAAAACATTTCTATATTTTACATTTTCAATATATTTTATATATAACGATTGTTCAAATGTGATCTTATATTCCCTTTATACATCTAACAATGATGAAGATTGAATACCATCATTCCAACAACTTCTATAAATATCCGTAATTTATTCCTAAAAATAGGTACAAATAGTTTTATATTAACAGAATCGGGATATAACCAAACTTCATTAAATCCTGCTGGCTGAAGAATGTTTTTAACTTTTGAAGCGCCCAGTTTGTTGAACAATTTACCACATCAACATGATATATCTGTCTACACAATATTGTTCTTAATATACAATTATCTTTTTACCTGTAATTAACTTAAGAAAATATTTAATCATACGAATATGCCTTTCAATGTAAAGAGGAAATCTCCCAAATTCTGCATATAATGCCAAAGTATTTGTTGACTGTTTAACATTTAAAATAAACCTACAAATTTGTTTATGTACTCGTTCCAAAACTTCTGCATTCATAAACCCCCATACTTCACAGCCATAATTTCAAATTGATAAAACATAGGCATCAAATTAGCAATACTATATAAATAATTAATTTGTTAAATCTTGAAAAAAAACATATATCTTAAGTGTTAGCTAAATGATTAATAGAGATCAAAAGATAATGATTTTGGAAGTATATTTGTAATTAATTTTGTTGATCAAAAAGTTTTTGTCAACTGTTTTATAAAATAACGATTTAGTGTGTTTATTTAGTTGTATTTATTGTAACACCTTGAAAAAAAGCATTTATCTAAACAGCGATTGCTAGATCTATAATGGGTTATCAATCAAGGATTAAATTGTCATAATTGTTTGTGTGCCATCAATCAATCAATGTACTACAATTTGTAACGATTTTAAGTATAAAATAAAAAATTCCTTTTATACTTTAAAACTGTAATAAAAAAGGGCCGAAACGTCTCGCGGAAAAGGGCCGTAACGTCTTGGGGCCGATTTTTGCATATGGGCCGATTTGGTTTGGGGCCGAAACGTCCTGTTTGCAATCGGGATTTTTCGGCTTTTTCCGGCAAACTCCGTAAAATATTATTTTGTTTTTGTTTTTTCGAAAAAAATGTAAATAACCTAAAAATGTTGCAACAGCAGACACAAAACACACAGCCTCCAAGTACACCTAGCTTCCAGATACCGGCTTACGTTTTGGATGATCTCTGCAGGTAAATGAATCGTAAAAATTAGTCATTTTGTAAATGTCATATATTTTCGCGATAGCAATAAAAGAAATCAAATCAAAATTCATTTATTGTCGGTATACATATATAACATTTTACAAAACATAAGCTATGTATAGCTTTTGACCGACATAAATTTCTATTGCTGATAATTCAAGAAATTGGGTTGAAAGTTTGAAACGATTTTTGTGTCGCCTCTACCACGGATTTATATTACAGGGATCGGACACTCCCAGTTAACCCTATATAAATGCTTAAATATCTTGTCGTGCACCCGATAAAGGTACATCGATCGATAATTTACCGGCGCGAAGCGTAAATGCCCGTTCGCAACGGATACCTACTTTACAAAATCAGAGCTCCAGATAGCGTGCGTATAAGCGTAAAATACGCATGGAAAATCTAAAATACGCATCACTTTTAAAATTCGTGGGTCAAAGTTACGCACAACAAAATGAAAATACGCTTGTATGTCAAAATTTAAAGCGTAAAAGAATAGAAGTGTAAACATTTGATATTCAGATAGAGGATGTTTTGAGCATATAAATACAATATATTTCCATTCTATTGCATTGAAAACTAAAATTTCTGTTGTCAACAACGCATGTTAAAAACGAAAGTAGCAGGAAGTACAGAAGAGTGTAACTCCTGTAGATTAACCTGTGAAATTATTGATATAAATGTTTGCCAGATAATCATCGTAGGTGTTAACATAGTATTAAGTTTGTTTAGGCATCTATTGACATGCTTATGTCTCAATATAAACAAAAATATATTTTATAATTTCTTTCACTTTTGTTGTTGAAACAAAATAACATGTTTTTCACCTGCAGTTTTGTAATTGTACTCAATATTTTCGAACCCAGTCTACAGTTACGGACAATTTTCTCTCAGACCAATACTTTTTTTAAGGAAAGATAAAAAATCTTGTTTTTTTTTCTTTCTTTAATTCTAATTTCAACTATAATTGTTCAAAATGGAGCATATGATAAGCTACATGCCAACAGAAATAAAGAATTTCAAAGAAAAATATTGACTCCTAGAAAATACATTTATTTAAGGGCTTCCAATAGTGGTAGTTTGGAAATCATTTACTCCTTCATTTTGGCATGTGACTTCCGAAAATCTAATACATTTCCTTCTTTACCAATATAATGTGACTTCCAATATTAGAGATTTTGAAGTCTCTGACTTCCAAATTTTGAAAATTGAAGCCCTGATAATTTTGCTGTGTATCCTAAACTTGAGTTCCAGTATAAAAAATGCAAAATGCTTTTTTGACAGATATTACCCCTTAAGTTTTTTCAATTTTACATTTTACCCCTCACTCTAAATTTTGAGGGGTAAAAACCCCTTGGCCAAAAAAATTATCTGGAGCTCTGAAAATACCATATAGCTTTTTAATTTATTATCCGATTTTGGAAATTTAAAGTTTATTTTGAAGAAAAATACTTGGTTAATTCAAATATCTAATTTATTTTTTAAAGGTACAGTTTATCTGTCCGCAACGACGGTTAAAAAATTAACTTGACGAAATCCGCGGTAAATTTACATTTTTTTATATAAAAAGCAGGTATTTGAAATTTATTATTACGGTACCATAATACTTTCAGTTTCAAAACAAAAAAGAAGCCGATGTAAGTTATTCACAGATGATCAAAGATGCAATATTTAAGATTTGTTGGGTTATGTAGTCAAATTTATTAACGCACAATTGTTTTACGGGTAGGGCCTAATGTATTGCGGCCTTTACACATGAAGAAAATTTATTCATTTTTTAGTACAAAATATTGCCGAGATTGTCAATATTGCCATATTCATAGAATATTTAAATTTCATTCATCATTTATATCATTATTATTTTTTGTAAATCTGTTTTCAAATGTCGGTGCAGTGAAGTAGACAATCATCGTAACAGTAAAGTTCTCTCGTGTGGCTGTCTCGATTCCGGCCTTTTTAATGTCACTCGTATATTTTAATCCGTATATTTTAATTATTCTTTTTATTTGAATGCCTGTAGAAAGATATTTATTATACTTTTTAATGTAACGCTAGAAAAACAATAAAAATCTTTACAGTTTGAGTCAGTATTTTGCGAAATAAAAGTAACTGTTGATTATTTTTTACACATCGCTTAAATTTCTTTCAAGTTTAATTACTTTTGAAGGGGGGTAAGTGATAATTAAAAAACTTTATTTCCAAACTTTCATTACCAGGTTACATGTGATAATTGCAACACTCAATCTTCAAAAACAAATATAATTTGAATGTATATTTTGTATATGCGCGGTCTTTAACTACAGTTCATGGCATATGTGGTAAGAAAATGATTCTGAAGAGGATATATATAAATACAATGTAAATCTATTTTCTTTATTAACATTTATAAATGAAATTGAAAATATACAACTAAATTTGTATAGTCCTTTCTCTGAAAAATGATGAAAATAAACATGTGATAAATAAATCATTTGACGTGAATTGTTTAGGATATCTATGAAAAAATTATGTTTCAAAATAAAAAAAAATATTATAAAACAGCTGTTCTCTATGCCAATAAAAGTTTCTTCCTTGCCAATCTAATGAATTCATCTATATAGGAATGCTTGTCTAGAATGATCTGAAAATATATTTAATACACTTAATAGTAGAATATTTACTATATTTATACTAATATACACGTAATCAAATAAAAAATGTACAAATCATTTGGAAATAATTCACAGAAATAAAGACACATTTCAAACATGAATTTCTTTAAAAGTTTTTTAGCAATCAAGAAACGTTTTTTTGCAATGCCATCATTAAACCATGTAAAAAATAATTATCTTATTCTGAATCGCGGTAATAATTCGTGCTTGAAGTAAAAGGGCGGCGAAGTGTAGAGAGTATGCCTAAACAATAGGTGAATATTTTTTAAATTAGGTACTTTTTAACTAAGCGTTGCAGCGTTCTATCAGCATATTTTCATATGATAATACTTTAGCGACACAAAATAATACTGTATCAATACATTCATATGTGTATAATTTTTCACAAAGCTGCAATAACACCACATACTCCGGTGAAAATCTGTCATATTTCGTACTCCTCACGTTCTGCCATCTCATTCTGTCCACCTTTATCCGATTCCGCGCATGCGCGCGACGGGACTTTAAGCTAAACGAAAGTGTCCGATCCTTGTAATATAAATCCGTGCCTCTACGGAGTAGTGGCGACATATAGACCCTTTCATTTAAGCGATAACAGTCGGGGAAGAGTTACTTCCCTTACCGGATGTGACGTAAATAGGGGATAAAACTTTGCAGGCCGCATAGAATGTTAGCTTATTGAAAAGTTAAATGCGTAAATACTGATCGTTCAATTATGAGTATGACATGTAAAAAATTACGCATGCATACATAATTTCAGTATCAAGACAATAGAAAAAATACAAAAACAAAGATTGAGATATATTCTCGCTACGGAGTGAAACAGCGAAATTTCAAAGTGAATAAATTTATTAGATCTAGATTTTCTCTAATACCAGCTAGTAACTAAATCAAATTTTAATATTTAATAAACACCCATACACACTGAAATTGCCTATTATAAATTTAAATGGCCATTTTCAATTTTTCTGTGTTATTTCCTGTCATTTAGAAAATTCCGGCGTATTTGTGCCAAACATGAAAATAAGATTGTCAATGTCTTTTAATGATTGTTTTTCAAGCTTTAATAGAACAATAACAGAATGCATTCTGTCAATACTGATTCTTTTTCATTATGCCGTATAAAAAAAATATTTCAAAGAACCAGTGAAGGATATTATTTTATAAATATTCCGGAAAGAAAGAAAACCATGTGGCATTGACTTTTATAATTTTAGATTCGCAGACGATAATAAGATGATTTTGATATTAAAAATCTATTATTATGGTTATAAAAATAATGACCTTTTCCCAGTTACTTATTTCATAGGTAAATAGATGTGTTTAAGCGGCACTGGGCCGTAACAAATTAATTAACAGGGTGCATATGTTGTACATACAAGCCGCACTTGGCTGAGATATCATAAATCACCAGGGTGCATACAATACATTAGATTACGTCACTTTTGTTAGTATGATCCGACTTTGGTTATAGATCATCTTAGGGACTTTATTGGTCACGCCTTATGATTTGAGATACTCTAGAATGACTACAAACTTGCACAGTCAAAAATACGTAAAATCATAATTCAGTTAGAAACGAATTTCTGTGAACATGTTTCACAACTTGTTTCTGTTGTTGTTTTTTTAAAAAATATTTGATAAGCAGAGTATGAATTAAAAAGTATCAAGTTGAAAATATTACTTAACCAGCTTAAATATATGATGTACAATTTTTTGAGAGTGCAGTTTTTACTGACACAAATAGTATACAGTCATGTACATTCAAAAGAATTTTTACTTTTTATGTCTTTACATTTTTTTTGAAATTACATAGATTTATATTGTTTTTCTTTGTCTCAGTAATGCTTAAATCAAAATGCTTTTTAATAAGCCAGTATCTTGCAATTAATTATTGTGCAGCCGTTTTTCAAAACTACAGAATCTTTACATTTTTGAAACTCAAAATGTCTTTTAGGTATTGTATATTAGCAGAGACATAGATACATTATCTATATCTCTGGTATTAGCAAGTTACGATTTAACTGCCTGGAAAAAATTTTCATTTTTAAGAATCTAACGAAAATGGTAATCACGATCAGTTACCCAGCAATATGGTCTACTATTAAAACAAATCGTTGACCTTATTAAAGTAAACATTTTTATTCATTTCACCATCCTTTTTATGTAATATCTTATTCAAGTACACAAAATTTTGGCAATTTCAATCTGCCAATCTTACAAGAGAAAGGATTAAGATCTTTATATCCCTCTATTATTGTACTTAATCGTATCGGCATTGTCCACCGTATCCCCCAATGACGTCATCCAAGGGCGACAACTTGAATACGGTCTTAAATGAAAGGGTCTATAGGGATCACTTCTCCGTCGTCTGTCTGTCTGTCCGTCTGTCACAAAACTTGTCCGGACTACTCCTCATAAACTGCAGGTGCAATTTCATCCAAACTTTACAGGAATGATCAGTACCAAGTCTAATTGTGCATAATCATATTGTCAGCATTTTCAGGTTCAATGATTTTTGTCAGAGTTATGGCCCTTTAATAATTTTTATTTTTAAAGTTTGTCCGGACTACTTCTCTTATACCACTAATGCAATTTCAATGAAACTTTACAGGATTGATCTGTAGCTCAAGTCCTTGGGCATATTGCACGGGTTTTCCAGTTGAATGCTTTTTGGCCAAGTTATGGCCTTTTGATAAAAAGGTGTTTTTTTCTGTGTGTTGCCAGATACACAAAAGCTTGTCCGGACTACTCCTCATAAACTACTTGTGCAATTTTATGCAAACTTTACAGGAATGATCAGTACCAAGTCTAGTTGTGCACTGTCTGTCCGTCTGTCACAAAACTTGTCCCAACACGAAATTGGCCATCATGAGGCGACACATGTGATCATTGATCGCTCTTGTTATATTTCTATATCTTAAACTGGACAATTGCGATGTAACAGTTAATTTTGATGCATGATTTTCATGCTGCTGAAAGCTTAAATTATTCTGTCTCTTGATCATTGCTGACATGCCATAATAAATTTAGTTTAAACTATTATTTTTAGCTAGATTGTGGAACATGTTCTTGCAACTTATAGTTAGGGCTGTCATTTATTGAAAATTTTGTATTGATATATATATATATATATCGAGAGATAAATATTGATGATATATCGACTTTGACAGTAGATACAATGAAAAAACATTTTTATTACCCTTCCAGATTTTTTCCGCCTTTTTGATTGGATGTTGATCACCCGAAAGAAATTGATATTACCGAGCCAGACGGGTAATATACACATTAAATTTCCCCGATGGGTACCCCACGTTGTAAACAACATGCGCCGTGCGATGCGCGTACGGTTTGATTTTACGCGATATAAATTCCAATTTACAATCAATTTTAAACTGTCAAGTGATAAATATTTACCAAAATAGAGTAATGATACATATTCTCGTCAGTATAGGAAACAAATATGACCTTGTCACAGTTGTGAAAGCTTGATATTAATTCCAAAAAAGTGCGTTCAACAGACTACTCCTTTTCTCTTGTTTACATCCGTTTATAATGTTCGAAAGATAATACGTCATGTATTTGTGACGTCATGTTATGGTGAAGGGGTATCCTACAGGGAATCTTATTTCGACGTTTCATTTGAAGTAGCAATTATTTATTTTAAAATCGTCTTAACTCGGCACGGGAAGGGTAATAAAATTATTATTTTGGTTTTGGAGTGATATATGTGGATATATTACCTGCCAAGATAAAATATCACCCTCGCCTAACGGCTCGGGTGATATAAAATCTTAACAGGTAATATATCCACATATATCACTCCAAAACCAAATAACATATAATATATGTGTTATTAATTGGGATCATAGTGTAATGCGTGCTTGCATTACACATTACAAATACTAGAAACTAGCAGAAAGTTTGTTTTTTCTGTTTTTCTTGTCACTGACAACTAGAAAAAAAGTGACTTCTCTTATAAGCCAAAATAGAGAGGTATATTAACTAACAGAAATAAAAAAAAATTGAGCTTGTATCGATATGTGAATGTGTGTTTCGATATTGTATCGGATGATGAATATCGATGATATTCAATGACATACCTACTTAGAGTCTGCTTCCTAGAACTTACCAGCACCAGTTCCTTTAGTCCAACTACATGTTGAGATATTGTGCTATTTTGTGTATGGGCAATATCTTCCCTGTAGAAATAGAAGGGAGATTCTGACCTGTAAAAAAAATCTCAGAATCTAGCTTTGGCATGTCAAAATTTTACAAAATGACTATGGTGCCAAACAAGGAAACGTGATCATGACCCTAGTATAGCTCCGACAAACCCATGAATGATGTATGACTATGGTATCCAGCTTTATTGTATTATGGTGAAGCTAAGGCATGGATGAACTTTAGATTAGACATGATATCATGTATTTGTTCCCCTTTAGTATCTACATCTCTGTTTGTAATTATAGATGCATGTGACCTGTTAATCATATAAATAGGTAGTCAGACTCTGTGTATTACAGAGTGTAAAGCAATTACTTTATTGAGGGACAAAATGAAATTATCTGCATCTCTTATAAATTTACTTCTCCATGGTATATATTTAAGGCAATGAGCAAAATATTAAAGCACTAAGGGAGGTCAAATTTCTTAACTAAAGCTTCTGAACCTAGTGAAGGCCTGTTATACCGTAAAAAATAGAGGAATTATTTGTGTTATATGATTTAATTAAAAAAAAAAAAAAACTATAGTAGAAGGAAATTTAACAAACTAAAATTTAAGGGAAGGAGACAGTACTTTAAATTTTGGGGAAAATTATACTGTAGTCTGTATTCATGATGATTTTTTATGTCACTTTCAGTTTCATTGTCTTGTAAACACTCAGCAGTTTATAAGTTAATAATATGATGTCTTAAAACATTTTATCATTTCATTTTCAGCCGGTTCATTATAAACATACCTGAGGAAGAAAGGCAAGATTTAATCAGGATTTTCTTCCAGATAGAACTTGCACATTGGTTTTATCTAGATTTTTATTGTGCTGAGCAGCCTGAGTTAAAAACATGTGGCATCAAAGACTTTTCTGCACAAAGTATCCTTTATACAATCATGTCTAATTGGTGTTACACAGCCTGAACAAAATAAAAAAGCTGTCAAATTGATTGATGGAATTGGATGAAATTTTGTATTATGACCTAGAATTAAATGTTAATTAATTATAGTTATAAGCCGAAAGTAAAATATGTATCTGTAATCTACACTTGAAAATACCTTGATTAGATAAGCAAAACAGAAAATCAAATAAAAGGGCAGATAATTCATAAACTTAATTTTTAACACCAATAATTGTTACATGTAACTCATTTTTCATTTCTTTATGATTTCTGTGTATATAGACTGTTTAAAATATCAGTGCTTCATATGACTTGGTATTGATTTTAAGAATATAACATGGTAGTTTATACCTTAACTAGAGTTTAGTATTTCATCATTGTCCATCTCTAAGTGGTCATGCACAAGAAGTGGACAAGATTCTTGGCAACTGGAAGTCATACAAGATGAGTGTTCCCACATACGGAGCAATTATGCTAGATCCAGAAATGAAATATGTATGTTTATATGATATTTTCCTTTTGTGTTTCTTTTCATTTCATTTAAAATGCGAGTAAAACCTGTCCTAAACCTCTACATTTCAAGTCTTGTTGACTATAACTTGTGAATGAGCCAAAGAACAAAACAATATGATGAAGAATATAACCAGTATGTGTAGGCATATAATGCAGTAGGACAACAGTTTAAATCATTATTGTCAAAGAAAATTGATCAAGATTATGAATATCATAGAACTAAGAATAGGTGATTTCCTCGCCAGTATTGAAGTATTCAAAAATAAATTATTTTGAATTTTAGACAAGCATACAACAATTACAAATTTTATTTCTGCTTTAATTTATTTTCCACTTTAAGATTATAGTTATGTTACTTTATCTATGATTCGGATATTTCAGTGCTTATTGGTGCAAGGATTCTGGGCAAAAGCCAGTTGGGGTTTTCCGAAAGGGAAAGTAAATGCCGGTGAGCCGCCACATGAATGTGCCATAAGAGAGGTAAAAGATATACAGTTGATAAAATGAGTATAAAAATATTATTGAAATTGTTTATTTAACTTTAAATTAAAAAAAAAACAACAGAAAAGGTTTATTTAACTTTAATATTTAAGACAAAACAAAAGTGATTTACTTGAATATCCGGCATGTTTAAAGCCAGACTAGCATTTTAGTACATGTCCTGATTGGCAAAAATAAGTATTTTTTCATTAGACCGTGTCAGATCCATTCCCAAAGTTCATTGTTTGGTTAAAACTTGACCAACTGGAACAAAAAGTGTTAAGCTTTTGCTACCGGCATAGAGCCATGTTGCCTGTATATTAATGCAGTCTGACACCTATACTGTTGGTTGACTAACTTTAAATTTTCATATCAATATCCCCAAAATTGATAATGGACAGTTCCAAAAACGGAAGCTGGGCAAGTTCATTTCATTATTTCAGGAGGTTAAGGGCTAGTCCAACTAAATAGACTTGTCAAATGGCAGTGTCTTTTTCTTTAGGTTTGATAATATTAAAGAAAGTCTGTAAAATTGGTCAGACCATTCACATCTAATTGATTAGGCTAGTTAAGGGCTAATGATGTATGTTTTATATTGTAGGTATTTGAGGAGACAGGATTTGAAGTTAGCCGGCTGATAAATCAAGAGGAGTTCCTGGAGAATCGTATGAATGATCAGTTAACTAGGCTGTATATCATAGAAAATGTGCCACTAGATACCAAGTTTCAGCCGAAAACTAGAAAAGAAATCAAGGTAAAGCATCTTGTATCAGGGCTTCTAAAGAAGGGTGTATGTAAATACACCCAATGTTTGTATCTGTATTCCAGAAAGCTAGATATCATATACCTACAGCAGAAAATTCAAGAAAACTTCAAAAATAATTACCCATGATTCTAACTTTTCTCACTTTCCAGAAGTTCAGTTGGATGACATAATATAACACATCCTGCACCTATTGTACAACATGGTTAACACGAGATCAGTGTGTGAAAGTGTGGCCCAGTGAATCACACATTTAAATTACCTATATCAGTTAAAAAGTTTCAAGACGGTCAATTAATCCTGTAATACAATTGTCATATGCATCTCAACACATTCTCAAGATGTCATAATATTAAATAAACAAAATGATACAATATAAATTACCCTAAACTGGGATGAATAGGTTCATTTTTATGCAATTACACCTGATATAAGTGTACTTGTTAACATTTTCTTGTCATTTTGTTTTTGTTAAAGCAACTTAAAGGGACTCCACTGAGGTTTAATAGCCTAAAAACATAACATTTGAATTTCTTACATAATTGAGACGGGGCACTTTAAACAGAAATGTATGCAAAGAAATTTAAGAAATATACTTTGAAATAAATTGAAAGTTGTATTTTTATGCTTTTCTTAGCCTGATATGAGTAAAAAGCGTTTAAAACGCTTTTCATTTTGGGTCATTTTTTTACAATTTGAATAATTATTCTGGAAAAACGAAGTGTGAGAATGATCTGAAATTTTGCACAAAGATTAGTGGTCTAAACCTACATCAAATGGTACATTTATCTTGAAAACATATTTTCAGTGCCATCATGTCAAATAACCTCAGTGGATTCCCTTTAATTGTACTGCATGGTATATTAATGCATTCAAAGTCAGTTACTTGGTTTAGGACCAAAATATTCCAAAAAAAGCTCTAATATGAAGAACAGGGTGGAATTACTACAGATTACAACATAATTAAATAATATGAATGGACTAAATATTTTCCATTATTGCAAAATTTTGTGATTCCCAAAACTACTCTTTCCTGAAATATGTCATGATACATGATGTGTATTACTACAATCATAATATATTCATATATTTTGTCAGACTTATAAGAATACTATTTAAAAAAATGTTGTGTTAAATTTTCAATATTGATATTTCTGTTTAGAATAATAGATCTTTGAATCTGTTTTGCAGAGCTTGCAGTGGTTCCCAATTGATGCTTTACCTGCTCACAAGAGAGATCAGTCATCAAAAACACAGCTAGGGCTCAATCCAAATACTTTCTTCATGGTCATTCCATTTATTAAGTCAGTATTATTCATTTTATTCTTTCTATATGATTTATGTGGCTGTTTACTACACTTCTTATTTAGCTTAATACAGAAGCCATTGGATTTGTATTCCAAGGCTTGCATTTCCGATCCTTAGGCAAGACAAAGTTTCTTTTTGAATCTTGATCATGGGCATTGAGTTAAATGGTTATTTTTGTCTCACCTAGATTCTGAAATCATGTACAAAGTAATTAGTCATTTGTGGGGAAAAGCTGGTAATTACTGGTTAGTTTCCAAGGAAAGCTGGTAAGGCGAACCACCTGCCGAGATAATGACCAATAAACGCATTGAAATTTCCGTACCAGGCTTAAATACTAGTAGGTTATGTTTTATGAAACATCTCCATACCCTTTATGTCAAAATCTTTTTTTTCGTATGGTTTTATGACATTATCATGTCTTACATCATATGTTTCTCCATTTCAATATCTTTTAGGTCTTTAAGAAAGTGGGTAGGTAACAGACAAAACCTCTCGGAAGCCTCTCAAACAGCAACTATAAGACCGTCTTCACGACCCAGAAGTGCAACAGGAGGAAAATCTACAAAAGACACTGACAATATTAGCAATAGTAACAGACAGTATAAAGAGAAACAAAAATTACGTCAGCAGCAGTATTTCTCACAAATGAACCAAAGTGAATACCAGGAACTTTTACACTTAAAAGATTCAAAAACTCGTGCACGTGAAGCACGAGACAGGAAACAGCAGCGGCATGAACAAAGTACTACTCAAGGATATGCATCGCCAAATTATAAATCTGACAAAAATCAACAGTTTCATATTTTAGTAAGTATGCAAATTTATAATTTGAGGCTTTTAGCAACTTGGATATATTTATTATTTGAGGCTTTTATCCAATTGGATATATTTATTATTTGAGGCTTTTAGCAACTTGGATATATTTATTATTTGAGGCTTTTAGCAACTTGGATATATTTATTATTTGAGGCTTTTAGCAACTTGGATATATTTATTATTTGAGGCTTTTATCCAATTGGATATATTTATTATTTGAGGCTTTTAGCAACTTGGATATATTTATTATTTGAGGCTTTTAGCAACTTGGATATATTTATTATTTGAGACTTTTAGCAACTTGGATATATTTATTATTTGAGGCTTTTAGCAACTTGGATATATTTATTATTTGAGGCTTTTAACTTGGATATATTTATTATTTGAGGCTTTTAGCAACTTGGATATATTTATTATTTGAGACTTTTAGCAACTTGGATATATTTATTATTTGAGACTTTTAGAAACTTTGATATTTTGACAGTAAGAGTGGTCTCCCTTGCAGGTTTTTGAAATGAAACCTTTTGCTTATTGTCATAGGAAAGCATATCCTTGCATGTGAGAACATTTATTATTATCCAATGACCATTTATCTAGTGTTTATTTGTCCATATGAAGGCACCTAAGTAAAAGAAGGAAGATTGAGGATTATTGCATTATAAAATAATGTTTTTACAGATTTTAAGACTTATATTGGAAACTGCTTCCAGTTGTAGTATGACTTAAGTCACTTCAGAGCATCAAATGTTTCGAAATACATGTATCTTATACATAAAGGGTTAATTTTCTATTTCAGAATTCAGAGAAAATTTGCCATGAGCTAAAATTGCATGTGCTTTTTGCATTTTTGTTTTTTTTTCCTTTGCTACTAATAAATGTAAGACTCAGATTTTATGGGATTTTCTTGAATGAATTGACTTATTTGGGTACAGTTTAATGATGTAAAATAACAGCAACATTTATTGTACTAATGATATGCACTAGTTTGATATTTCATGTTTTAAATTTTAAAGGGATACTCAGGCAAAATAATGGCAAAAATATAAAAATGATTTTCTGTACTCAAATAACCCTAAAATGACATTTCTTAAAGTCCCAACATGAATTTCTGTATAAATTCTATATATTTTGGGTTTGAAGTTTAAATATATCTATATATGTTGAACGAAATTTTGACGCGAACAGAATCACCGAATAGTTTAAAACAAGTCATGCGATTTGAACAAACCCTGGAAGTTACAATAACAAATATTGTGGATATTGTATGATTGAAACAAGTCTAAGTAATTGATTTGACATGTTTTTTAACGTTTCCAGAGTACAGAGTGACAACTATTGTGAAATTTTAGCGCTCTAACCTGATCCACGCGGGTCAAGTTAGGAAAACACCATTTTATTCTTTATATGGAGAAAAGTTTTGTTCCTTTGACTGTTTAGTGTATTCATTTTGAGGACATTTACAGAATAATGAATGAAAATTTCAAAACTAAGAAATGAAAATTTTGCCTGTGTCTCCCTTTAAGGTATAAATGATGTCAAAGAAGATGTTTATGTATTATTCATGAAATTAATGTAGGAATCACTTGAACGGATTTATTTATTTTGCAGAATCGGGATGGAACTGTTGGAGGGAAACCAAGAAGAAGTTTAGCCACACAATTTGACAACCAAGGTAATTCATTATTGAACTTGACTGGTGATAATAACAACTATAAAGAGAATATTAAATGAGTGTAGTTTAATACTAAATTTATTGAACGAGTTGAATAAAATCATATTATGCGAGCCTCTGGTGAGCATAATATTGTTTTATTCAATGAGTTCAAAAATTTTAATATTGAATCTACACGAATATAATATTTTATTTGTCTATATACAAATTAAGAACAGTAAACTGTTAAAATGATTAATTTTTCAATGACACGCCTATAGTGTAATGCTAACATTAGCGCGCTTTAACGCTATGTTTATATATAGCGCAAATGACGTGACATCAAAGTGTTATTACACTAGTGTAATATTGTTTATGTTAAATGGCTTTAATACACTCCGGCGCCACGGTTTTCGTGATGAAAAATTATACCAGGTTTCTCATGATAGCAGATTAAACAAAGTCTGTACTGTTGGCTGTGAAATTTTAGCATGTTAAAGTGGATTGGTCTAAGATTTGCACATTTTTCATAAGTATTTCAAATGCTGATAAAACAGTAAAAGTGCATCATTTGGATATTCTATTTAATTATTTTGATTGGGGGGGGGGGGGCAGTTGTTGATAGAGTGAGTGCTAAGTGATTAAGTATAACATTTATCTGATGAATATTTTTTTTCTTCTTCTAACTGTCCCCTTAATACCAGGTTTGCACCAAAATAACATGAATATGCCTAACGCCCAGTGAAGGAGCATGTTATCATCTTACTGTGCAAGCAGGTTGGAACCTTTTAGTCTAAAAGACAAAGTCCTGGTTATTTCTAGGGGATAGGGATCTATTGTTTGTGTATGAAATACAAAAAAAAGTGAAAATGGTTCAGTTATATCAGATAACAAAAAGAAACCACAAAGAAAAAAAAACAAGAAGGAAAATAACATTAAAAAACAAGGAAAAAGGCAAGAATTTTTAAAAAAAAATACAGACTTGAGTAAATGTGAAAAAGAAAATGTTCTATACAATATATATTTTAAATAATATATCTTAAATTATCTTTTGTAACTTTCATTTAGGTAACTATGGGAACCAGTATCAACCAGGAAAATATGGAAACAAGTCAGATAGAAGGCAAAGGACAAATGATCAGAACACTAGTATAGAAAACTTTGTGCCACCATCATGGAGAAACTTTAGACTAGATGTTGACTCAGTCCTTGCCTGTATTGGATAATATTTAGAAAGTTTGATTTGTTTGTTGGGCAATAGAATAGTTAACTTTGGTTATATTAGAATTAATTCTGAACCTGACCCGCACATTTAGATACAAAGGAACATACTAAATATTAAGTGATGTGTGTTGTGCTTTGTTTCTTAAAGTATCAGGAGTTATCTATAGAGATGATATTATGTTAGACAAAGTGTAAGGTGCTCACTTGTATTTTAAAGATTAGTGAGAGCACATTACACATAGCCTAATAGGTGCTATTTTTATGTGTAAGTAGGCCTATCCTAAAGTGATAGGACAACATCAGTATTTTATAGGGTTTGACATACCTGTATACAGATAGATTTATAAATGTGATACATGTATTATTGTTGCTGTTGGAAGCTTGAATAGGCTTGTTGAGATTTGAAGCATTGTTCTGCATGCCATTATGAGGATAAGTAGTGTTGAACAATCACTAAGCCCTCACCACAACTTGTTTCAAAGTCGTAACAGAATTAATGAATTTTATGTAGCTATCTAGTTAGCTTGTGGAAGGTTCATGGTTCCACAATGCTGGGGTGTTACGCCTACCTAAGAGCACCTACCTGTAGGTCCTGGGAGGTTTTCCTTTACCAGTAAAGTTGAAGTCCTTGCAACATTTAAAATTGCTTGCCAGTAGTTGTGATGAAAGAAATTGAGAATAATATAATAACTTTATTAAATATATTGGTATGTACTAAATAGTTAGCGGTACTTTAGATATTTTATGCGCTTGAATGTACCATCATTTTCACCATTGTTTTACACTTTAAATTATATACTTATAGAGGAAGGACTAATTCTGCATATATCAAAAGTCCATGTAATAACATATAATTAGGTAATTTTGTGATATTTAAGTGCCTAGAGCAGGTTAAATGACTTTGTTTAGAACCTTTAAACTTGACAAGGTTAAAACCTGTAAACACTTTTTAAATAGCCTTGAAAAACTTGTCATAATTCTTGGGATATGCTGCTTTTATTGACTTGACCATGGCTGAGTTTTCAGTGTGAGTTTAAAACCAACAATAAAGTAAGTACATGCGATGAGAATATTTTGTTAATTCTTTTTACAGTAAAATGTACATTTTGTATTAGTAAATTATGTGATCAAATGTAAGATAAAATGATAATATTTCACAAATATTGATATGTTGGTTTGTAAGTTTACTACTGTAGAGTGAGTTATTTTTTAAATGAGATATATTGGGTATTTTTAACTTTAAAAAGGTATTGTTTTTTTTTTAGTTAATTAAAAAAATGCAAGGTTGTGGGCCAGTTGTCCAAAGACTGAATTAATGCTTTTCATGATGAAGGAAATCAGTTTGAAATGATAAAGGTTTTATCTTCTTTTGTATTTGTGTAATCAGGGTCCATTTAAATACTCCTAGTTTCATAGGTCATGAAAAGGAACTGTGATCAAGAAATAACATTTGATGTTAGAATCACATGTGATTGTTATAAATAAGAATAAAATTTTGAAAAGGTCTTTTTGCTCTATTATATTTTCAAATTGCAAACAAGTCTTATATTAAGATCAACAGATCTGAAGACTAAGTTACATACATTTTCCAATACTGAAATATTTTGACATTTATATAAATTATCTCAAGACTTATACACAGTACTGATTCTTTTTGGCCACTTTATTGTAGCATTGTCTGCACAAACTGCTATGTTTTGGTACATAAACTCATTGTTACATGTCTGATATGTGTGTCCTTATGTCCATATAAATGTGGTGAACTTAAACCTTAAACCCCCTGAATTTGTATGAAAGATTTGCCCTGATTTGAATTTGGATCAGTTCCATTCAAAGTTTTAGGAATATAAGATTAGAAATACAATGTACAAAAATTAAGCCACCAACTGGTCGAGCAGGCTGACCTGTCTATACTGGTTGCAAATTCTAATGACTTTGTACAGTCAAGTACTCGAACACCTCATATTGTCCACAAATTTAAAAGATGTGAAAATTATTTCACAATATGATCTTGTCGATGCCAATGCTTAATAGACTAGCTCGTGACCAAATGTTTGTTTCATTCCTGTTAATGAGTTGGACCAGGGCATTATTGAATAAAAACCCTTATTAGTTAAAAAATGATTTTCCCATAGATTCATACCTGAAGTGGTCCTACACCTACATGGATAGATACAGAACTGGACAGTTATGTTGATTTAAATAATCAATGTAAAGTAATTGTTTATTTGAAGAAGCAAAATATGTCATGATATTGTTTATTTTAACAACATCTGAAAATTGAAGAGTTTTACTGCAATTTTACTGACTTTCCTGGTCCCGGATACTTGAAATTATACAATCGAGTCTTTTGAGAGTTATCTCCCTTAGACAAACTGAAGATGACAAGTGTCGCAAGGACATTTCAGGTATTCAGAAATATAAAGGGATATTTTGTTTATTTAACATTTTAAAACAATCTTATTAACCTGCAGCCATGTGTGTGTTTTGTAGAGTTAGACTTGCAAAGACAGTTCATTGAAAAAATACGATGTTGCTTACTGTAGTAGTAGTCGGATATGTTTTTCTGTTAAAAGAAACAAACTGTCATCTGCTATAGTTAACCAGAGTGCCAGACCTTGACAATTACTTTTTGAGGAGAAAGACAGCTTTGCCACTGGATTTTAATTAAGGTGGTCCTTTCGAAAGTCAAGTGGGCCATGTTTTATTATTATTATTTAATTTCAAAAGTTTTGATTCCTAAGATTCTTAAGAGTAAAATTGACTTAGTCTAGATGAACGTATTAATTGGTCAAACATATTTAAAGAAGTAAGTATAACACATCTTTTACTAGTGCTATTCCTCAATGTAATGTTATTAAGATGACATTTTTCTATTTTCAGGCTGTCAAGCCACATATTCCAATGATAAGATTTCCTAATAGAGTACATGAAGGTAAAATGATTTGATACATTAATTGTGTTTGATGATCTTACATAGTATATTTTCCTGATAAAGGAAACAAATTGTTTACTTTTTTGTAACATAAATTGTCTAAAATTACACCTGTCAGACTTGTAGGAAAGAAAGTTAAGGAATAATGTCAAATTGTTAAAAGTGGCATATAAACTTATAATTCATTATTCAACTAAAATCATAGTGACTTTTCAATGTGTTGAACAAGGTCACATTATATCTAGTATTTGTATTTAAATTTCTTCAAAGTCTTTAGCCTTGAAATTGTGTGTTACAGTCCAGTTCACAATATGTACAAAATGTTCATGTATTGGTGACCACTATAATGCAGTTTAGACTGAATATATGATGTTGTTAAAGTTTGTTTAACACTAAACCATTCAAGTAATTATTTACTGCTCTCATCACAAATTATTATCATGTAAATTCATGTTAAATTCATGTAGTTAAGGTTAAAGCTTGGTATGTCAAATTATACAGTTGTTTCTGGTAGTACCCTTAAGCCATTGTGAATACATTACTATTTTATAAAAGACTATGTACAGTTCTACAGCTTCTGCACTTAATTTTGTTATTTTTTTTCCAAATCTAATCTATAGATTTCATAATGTTTGAATAAGGGCATTGCTTTAGCTCATTTTATATATTGTTGTGTATTATTATATTAACTTTATAAACAGCCAGTATTATGTTGAATATTGTAGTAAATATTAATCAAAATTATACAAAAAACAGTCAATTGTATTGATATAGACATATTTTTACACACATTCCTTTGAAGCCATTAGCTGATTTTGTCTGTATTTTCTAATCTGTCAAAAAAACATGTAATATATTTTGCAGGTGTAGCTGGGAATCTTGTACAGTCTGTTTCACAACCAATAAATACACCAACACCTAGTTCCTCAAGATCTCCTAGCTCTAGCCCTAGTTTAGAAACGGTGCCATCAAAATATCACAGAAAACCAATACCTTTAGAAGAAATGGAATATATAGAGGTACAATTTGTCATTTTTTTTGTAGACATAGTAATTATTTTGTTAGCCAAGTGGTTGCAGTAGCTGACTTCAAATCTAAAAAAAAGAACTTGCCCTTCACAGTTGTGAGTTCAAACCTGCATGAGACAGCATTTTTTCATACAAGGAAGCTGACCAGTTAATCTACGGCAAAGTCGGTGGTTATACTCAGGTGTCAGTAGATTCTAGTCTTGGATTCAGGCGTTGATAGTTTTGGCTTATTTATAACATTTGTGCTATTTCATACTTATTCCTGTTTTAAAGATCCTGTAACACATTTTTTTCATGGTTTTATTTCATCAATATGATGCTCAAATGAAGATTTGTCAATATTGTAAGTTCCAATAAGCATTATTTATAACGATATTACCGAATTTAACATTTCATGTAAATAAAGGGAGGTAATTAGAAATTATTTTCTATCAATTCTAAGTCAAATTTTCCAATAAGAAATGAATGCATATAATTTATTGATTAGATATAATGTGCATGAATATTTGCATTACACAATTTACATATTCCTTGATGTTTGAAAATTGTTTTATTTGGATAATTATATACATATATAATTTTTTGCAAGTGTGGTATACAGACAGTAACAATATCAATAACAAAACATACAGGATCTTTAATGTGATAGTATCAAATTGTGTTGATTTGCCCAACAGAAACAGATAAAAAAAATCAACAGACTGGAACTCAGGCTATGCTAATGCCTGAAATAATGCACCTGAGTTTTCTTTTCACAAGTAAAGCTGGAAAGTCACCATATTACCTTAAAAATTGTTAATGTGACTTAAATTAAAACCCAACCAATAAAACTTAAGCTTAATATAAAATCATTCTTAGCTTAAGTACCAGATTTCAGTAAGTATTGCTAAATAAAACCTGTACTAAAAGCAATCCAGGGATCCTAAATAAAATAGTAAGACTTTTTAAGTTCAAGCAGTAGATGATTTTGTTTACTACTTGCTTGCTTTAAAACAAAAAGTATTGTAATAAACATGTGACTTTAGATATTAATGGAAAGTTTGTTTGTTAGGGTACATTGTATCTATCGGCTGTACTTGCTGGAAAAAACATGTTTTGTTGTTGATTTTTAGTTGGTCAATTTCTTATGTCTTTAATAGCTTATGCAGCAGTATGGGTGTATTCAAAAATTCGTTAAATAGAAAATGATGAACAATTTACTTTAGTTAAGAGTCATATCTTAATTTTCATATTTTGGTATGATATGTAATGATCATGTATTCAGCATCTAAAACACTAGCTACATGTACAACAGGAAGGGAGATGCTATACAAGTTGGGTATTTTTGGTTTCACAATAAATGTTGATCTTTTTTTAGCTCACCTGTCACAAAGTAACATGGCAAGCTTTTGTGATCGCTTTTTGTCCGGCGTCCGTCCTGGCCTCCGTCGGGACGTCCGTCCGTAAACTTTTACTTCAAACGACATCTCCTCATAAACGGATTATCCAATTTCATCCAAACTTCACAGGAATGTTTCTTTGGTAGTGAACTTTAAAAATTGTTCAAAGAATTTAATTCCATGCAGAACTCTGGTTGCCATGGCAACCGAAAGAAAAAACTTAAAAAATCTTCTTTAAAAAAACCCAAAGAGCTAGAGCTTAAATATTTTGCATGAAACATCATCTTGTCAGAGTCTACCAAGTTTGTTCAAATAATAGCCCTGGGGTCAAAATTGGCCCCGCCCCAGGGGGTCATTGATTTTCCTTATTTGTTTAAAGTAAAAACTTCTTTTAAAAAACCCAAATAGCTAGAGCTTAGATATTAAGCATGAAACATCCTCTAGTTGGTGTCTACGTAGTTTGATCAAATAAAATCCATTGGGTCAAAATTGGCCCTGCCCCATGGGGTCATTGTTTTTCCCTTTATTTATATAGTAAAAACTTTAAAAATCTTCTTTTTAAAAAACCCAAAGAGCTAGAGCTTAAATATTTTGCATGAAACATCATCTTGTCAGAAATTTAGCTTGAAACATCTTCTAATGGGTGTCTACCAAGTTTGTTCAAATAAGAGCCCTGGGGTTAAAATTGGCCCCGCCCCGGGGGTCATTGATTTTCCTTATGTGTACAGTAAAAAATGAAAAAATCTTCTTTCAAAACCCAAATAGCTAGAGTTTAGATACCAAGCATGAAATATCTTCTAGTGAGTGTGTACCAAGTTTGTTAAATAAAATCCCTGGGGGCATCATTGTTTTTCCCTATATGTGAATAGTAAAAACTTAAAAAATCTTCTTTTAAATACCCCAAAGCGCTAGAGCTTAGATATTTGTATCATGAAACATCTTCTAATGGGTGTCTACCAAAATTGTCCAAATAAAAGCCCTTTGGTTAAAATTGGCCCTACCTCAAGGGGCCTATAAACCGGTGAGCGATTTCAGGGCCATCATGGCCCTCTTGTTTTGTTTTATCAGTTTGTATAGCAAGTACTCACTTCAGGTTTTGGAATATTCAATAGCTTTAAAAACAAATCTGGTCACATATCTATACTACTTTTGCAACTCCCTAAAAATAGTATTGCAGGACCATGCATATATTTTAATGTGACATCATTAATTTTGTGTGATACAAAGATAAGGTAAATATGAGGTTATACAATATGCTGCATAATTTTATTCAGAGTTCAATAAATTCAGTTATATGGTCAATTACTTGAGTGAACCCTAGGCTTGCATTACTTTATTCAATGAGTTAAATAAATTCAGTATTGAATCTTCACTCATTTAATATCCTCCATTTGGTACTTGAAAAAGCTGCAAAGATTGATTGAACAGTTTTCATGGAAATCAATTTTGATATTCACACAAAGAATTGTTTTGAATAAAACTCAGACTCTGCTTTCTTTGAATTCATGCACCAAACTGTTGAATAAATAACTCATGTATTTTGTATATTTAATTTCAGAGAGGAGGTCCAGAATAAACGGAGGATATACTTTCAAATTTACTGTATTACTATGGATGAAAGAGGACTGGCTGTTGTAAAAGCAGTATTAGCAATGTTTATGTTAAGAATGAAAGTATCTACGGCTTTTCCAATTTGTTATTTATATGTTTAGTTCATGTCTGATATTTTGATGAATAAATGAGTATAAGAGTGTATTAAGTTCTGTTATTGTATTCTTGTAACCCAGACAGTGCTGGCACCGAATAGTGAGCCTATGTCATAAGTATATAGCCAGGTCAGCCTGACCATCCGTGCAGTCTGACAAGGCTCTGAACTGTTGAACGTCCATTCTCAGAAATGATTTTAGTAACCGCCAAATTGACAGTTGCAAAGGTGTAAGCTGGACATGTCCGTTTGTGAAATTGAGCAGGCTTAGGGTTAAAAATTAAGAAGTTACAGACTTGATGGCATGGAGATTCTTCTTTAAATAACGGAATTGTTTGGGGGAAGGGCAAAACCAAAACACAAAACCCTTGCGGGGTTTATATCCTTTGCGCCAAATTTGTGGTCCCTTAAGGGTTTAAAAAAGACCCCCCCAGGAGTTATAGAAAAGATACAGAGCCGTGCCCAGGGGTAAACTGAAAAGTGGGTGAAGTGCGTAGCATAAACTTAGACTATAAAATGCAATTACTTAATTACTTTAAATCTGCCTTAAGCAAATACCTTGTATTACCTGGTCTCATTTCTGTCTGGATATATAGTGCTTTTTAGGATTTTCCCCTTTATTCCATTCTTACTGACTATAACCATAGGAAATCTGCCCCCACCAAAATAGATATTTTAAAAAAATCAATAAAATACTTCACTATTGTCTATCTTCTTTTTATAAAGATATTATAAATATAATAAGCTGTGGATAAAGGGTCCATGACTACATGAGAGAAATGAAATAAGGGAAATACTTTTTTTATTCAATTTGCCTTTCAAACATGTAACCAAGAACGTAAATATATACCCTGATGTTATCTTACTGATCATATAACAATAAAATGTACTAGTTCTCTTGCTTCGATAGATTTTATACAAATTCAAAATAATAACTTTTATTTCACACCTTATAGAATATAACTCGTGAATCTTCAGCATTTGCGCAAGGTCTTTCAATTTGAAACACGTGATATTCCAATAGAAATCATCATTTGATCCATCTTAGTAATATTACCTCGTTTACATTTCAAGAGTTCAAAAGTTCCATACCAGATGCATATCGTACCCGATATAGCCTCATTTTCACAGTCCAAAATATCTTAATCACATCAAATGCATATCGAACTGTGTCTAGCTTCGTTTACATATTCAGAGTCCACACTGTCAAAACGTCAGAAATGATGGTGATATGATATAAAGAGGTCATTATACATTGGTGAGAGCAATACTCGTACACTAGCGCCTCGTCCAATATACGTTTGACAGCTGTGTACGATAGTAGTATACAATGTATAATTACCTCATAATATTCACCACTGCGTCGGCAATTTATCCAAATACTGGTTTCCTAACTCTCCATTGATTATTTAGATTAGTTCAAATCGTTTAATAACTTATTTAATGTCTATAAAATACTCGATGTTCGCAGAATACGCATGCGCGAAATTATACTTCCGTTTCAAAGGAAATATCGTAATGTGAATTTTCATGAGCAAGTGAAGTCTAGAAATTTTCAAAATGATGATAATATGTTGGGTATTGGTATTGGTTTAATTCCAAACAGGCTTGCTCCACTGCGAGTGTCATTGGTCTTGGTCCACAGCTAAATATACCGAGTCTCTTTACCTGAAAAAGAAAAGAATTATTCTTTTTAATACTGTATAAGTGACGTCATTAGCAATAATGTGTGCCTCGATTTAGGGAGAAAGCTTCTATAAACACTCGATAAATGAAATACATGTGCAGTGTATTCTTAGAACTAATAGACCAATGATTCTTTATTACATAAGTATAACCTAGATGGGTTACAGATGAAGTATCAGTTACCCAGATTATAGTAATCGGGAAAACTGTCAAGGAGTATAGGTGAGCTTTAACGGCGGCAACTGAAACTATTCATGCGTCCAGTGCAGACCAAGATCAACCCGCACATCCGTACCGTCTGATCATGACCTAGTGTTCGCTATTCAGTCAGTACATATGAAATTTTCCCTCAACACGATGAATTGTTATGGCCAAAATAGAAAGACTGACAAATCCATTTAAGATATTGGACTGGAAAAGAGTTCATTCTCAAGATGGATGTTAAGATCGAAAACTAAATGTTTCCAAAATTACATTTATATCTACTTGTGAAATATGATGATACAAGGCATTGTTGTATTACTACAAATGTAAACGTGTTTGAAATAAAATGATAGAATTACTTACCTTTTTGTGTTCATATCTTAACGATTCTAGGAACTGTAAAAAACTTGGCCGTCCAAAATGTGTAACCGCTTCCAGCCCAGTGAACAAGCTTTTGCCAGCTATCTTTTGAAAGTGACGCTCGCAAATATACTGCAAATATATTATATTATTACCTTACCGAAATATGATGGTATAGTATATGCTAAAATTATAAACATGTATGACGTTCACAAACAAATTAATTGTCTGATTTTCTTTCTAAATCTTATAAGCTTCATTATGGTATCGAATGAATGATTTTATATAATGGATATATATTCATGTAGTTCTACATATTCAAACATAAGGTCGCACGTCGTGATAAATTATATTGCATATCGGTATATTATGACAGGGCTCTAATGAAACTATTCACTTTTTTAAAACCATAAAGAGACACGATTCAGAATTATCATCAACTGTGACAAAACTTGAATTATTACCAAAATCAAACTCAAGTTCCAAGCTCTAATTAATCCTTAATGAATGGTTTTGTCCAGATTGAAAGTTGGACAAGTCTATGTAAGATCTACATTGTATAGCATGGTAAGGGTTTTAATAACCGTGTCACGACTTTATGTCACATTTTAATATGTTTTGTTTGGTGGTTTTTCTTTTTTTTTTTTTTTTTTTTTTTTTTTTTTTTTGATAATTTTTTTTACACTTTTCAATCGGTAATGGAACATACATACTTACAAGCATAGATGTACGGAGGTCAAATTTTGACTTGAATTCTGTGACGAAAATATGTGTAGTGACCATCTTGTTATGATCAACTGCTTCCAAATCACGGATTATGTCTGTAACCCACTCGAATTGTTTCTGTGTCCGGGTTACCCACAAGAAGTATACCTAGTAATATGAATAATGTTTTTATATTTGGAACTGCCCGCATTAGACTGTGCCACCAGTATAGATCCAGGTGGTGAAATTAGATCTGGCTCTTTACTGGTGGCTGACTAACTTTACATTTTGATAATTCCAATATTGGTAAAGGGCATTTCTATAAACAATACTGGTTTAAACATATTTATTTAAGCTCTATTGCGAATCGAGTCATTGCAATTTATATTAACCACTTTCGAGTCTGCTTCCTGGAACTATATGTAGAAACATGGTCGTGACCTGCTTAGGGCTCTAACCCATGGTTCCTTGTTTGAGAGGCAGACACCTTAACCGCTAGACTTCCGCTACCTTGCAAGAAATCTACTTAAGATATTCCATGCGTGAGGTTAATTTTGAGTTGATTTTAATCAGATTGTTCCAAAGAAATGATGCTGGCCAAGTCCATGAAAGAAATTTATCAGGTTAAGGGTTAAACTCCAAATAACTCTTGCGACAATACCTTACATAATTATGGTGCAAGTTTAAATCAATGACACGTGCGTTCTGAACATACTTTATACTGATATAGTGTACCTAAGCATGTTGATAACTGAAACATTTAACATGAACACTTTCATGACAACAAAGCAAGGCTAGCCATAATTCTGTCAGTTACCGTTATATCTGGTGAAAGCTTATTTATATCAGAGACATAGATAACAGATAGATCAGAGACATAGATAACAGATATATCAGAGACATAGATAACAGATAGATCAGAGACATAGATAACAGATAGATCAGAGACATAGATAACAGATAGATCAGAGACATAGATAACAGATAGATCAGAGACATAGATAACAGATAGATCAGAGACATAGATAACAGATAGATCAGAGACATAGATAACAGATAGATCAGAGACATAGATAACAGAGATAAGCAGCTCCAATATACTCCATTGAAATATCACTCATACCTATCAAACAGTGAAAAATTAGGCATTTTGTAGCAAATAAGACTTAATGGATGTACATCTATTCCTTTAATATTATATATCATTTGAAAGGTAAATCTTTCATCTTTTGCTGCATGTTAAAATATTGGTAACTTTTCATGCCTTTCACTTAGAAAAACATAGCAGAACATACCCACTGAGCCAGTTTTTTCGTCATGTGAATAGTTTTGTAACAAAAATTATTCAGTACATGTAGTTCTCTTTAAAAAATGATGTATCATTTATTTAAATGGGAACTGTAAATATTTTACCTGCAGTCATAGACAAATGCATAAGCTTTCAGAAAACATATTATTTTACTGATTTTCATATCTTGGTTAATAAGTTTTATTTGCTACAAGTTTTAAGTTTAGCAGGCACCCGTTGCCTATCTCTGTTATATATGTCTCTGTTTATATGAAGCTTTTTCTTTCGTCTATTTGAGATGAATGCAAATTATTGGAGTTCGTTGTACAACAAGCCAGTTCACCTCTTAATTCAACAAATAGTTTTCAAAAAGTATCCTAATTGCATTGTATCAAACATAAGCTAAGTTATATGAGTTCATATTAACTTCATTTTGTGCGACTTTTAATTTTGTAAGTGTTGATGACCATATAACATTATGTAGATCGTGAAAAAAGTTCAGATAAACAATGGCCAGTATTATTTCTTGGAACAACCTGTGAAGTTAACTTAAAATAACTATGGTAAAGATAACTTAAGTTCTTAAGGCCGTTTTATACAGGTACAGGGCGGTTGTAATGCCGAACATATGAAAAAAGAAACATGTTCAAAAGCGGCATATAAAGTTTTGGAAGCCACAGCTATGGCAAAGCTAGTTACCTTTTTACAGCGTATCGTGACGTCCATCTGTGATTTGTGTACAATATCTTTTAGTATAGAAGCAAAGGGCGTGACACCAATCCCGCCCCCTATCAATACAGATACTTCGTAACGATACCAGTCTTGGTGCCCTTCTCCAAATGGTCCATCCAGCAATAGCTGTAAACATGAATGTAGCATTTTAAATGTAATTTCAACAGCAATTTCGGACACCACTGACAAAATTGAAATAATTGTTTTCAGAAACAGAACCTCTGAATAGAAAACAGTTAAAAACTGTTTTATAGCGCATCAATATTATGTTGTTACCAATCTCTATTAACTACAATAAAATACGACGTGTAGATTCAAATGACGTCTCTATGTTCGGAATCTCACTATTATCTACCTTTGAAAAGCCGGAACCAGCTCGGGAACTGGGGTCAAAGATACGTCTGATATTTGTCGTCCACGGTCCAACTGCTCTTATATGAAACTTGAGATATTTCTCGTGCGGTGCTGACGTCATCGTAAACGGGTGAAATTCACGCGCTCCTAAAGTCTTACACGCCACTTGTGCCCATTGTCCAGATTGATACTCGAATCCAGGCGGTTTAATGACGGTTAGTGCCGTGACGTCTATTTTTATTAAAAGATACAACAATAATTAAGGTAAGTCTATTCTGGTTATTCATTTGAAAAAATGTATGTGTCTGTTCTGCCATGCAGCTTGTGTTTATTAATAACTTAAAATAAACCGTCTGGTTTCTGGTAGGTAGTTAAGGATTCAAAAGCATAACCAACTAGGTCCCCTTCTTTATTCTTTGTTTCGAAAAAAAGGTAACATGTTCTCGAACATTTCATTCTGGTTACAGTGAATCGAATTATCGACCAACCACCTGCCGTTAAATAGTTGAGAATTAAGAAAAACCAACTACCAGCTATAGTTAGTAGTGGGTTATTCAAATATCAAACTACCTAGCTAATACCTACCAGAATTGACGCATGTCTATGTACAAGTATGAATATTTGATTCAAACAAATATATCAATTGTGTTGACAAATTCCTCATTAAAATACTTTAAAATAAAGAGTAAAAACCCAAAAGATGTATCATAATGTACCATAAACAGTCGAGTATAATTTTGTAGCGGAACTCCGATTGTCAATCTGAAACTAACAAAAAATAGTTCTTACCTGACGGAAGTAATTCGGCTTTGATCACTGTCAGCTCTATTGTAGCGCGGCTGATGCTGATTAGTTTGTCAATTATGAAAAGAACAGCTGGTCCAACAATATAGTAGGGAAAATGTGGTTCCTGGACCAATCTTGCGCTTCCATGGAGAAACGTGAGAATGTAAATGGCAATATACAGATTATGCGTCTTCCAAAACATGTGGAAAAGATGGCGTCTTGCAAGCGGAAGTGCGAACACAAATAGAACGATCAACAACACCACCAAACAAATTCCAGTCAGACCTATGACAGTGAAATAAAAAAGAAACAGAAAGTATTAAACGGATGGTGTTAAGATTCTTATAGAAATGCAAACGAATAGGCTTACCTCACAAGTACTGTGCGCATTAATTTACCTATATAATTTCTTATATACATGTAATTATAACTTATAACTTTATACCGTAACTTATAATAATTTTTATGTACATTTTGTAACTAGCCAAGAAAACTGTAATTTACAAGCGATGTAATCTAACAATTTGACATTACTTAATGCTTACCTGTTATAGTCCCAAAAGCCCAGTAATGGAAGCTTGCCAACTCGTGTGTGCTGTAAAAAACATGCCATTAATTAAGGTATGTATGTGTGTAAGTAAAAATTAAGACACATGATTTAAAAAATGCTATAATGTATATTTTTCAATTTATCTTTAATTTGTCTTACATGCCTTCGGACATGCCTTCAAATTATTTCTATGGAGACAAAAATAAATATATGCTATAAAACCTGGTGAGTTGTTTTTACTCACAGTGTCATTTTGTTTTACATTTTTATTTTGTAACCATGTGAATGACTTTAGAAAACATGTCGTTAATTTTTTTTTTCAGTTCTCGCATTAAATCACAAACAGCTTGATTTTATTAAACAAATCTGAAACATTACGCTCTGAAATATTCTCTGAAGTAACAGTTCAGGTCCGTTGATGGCTGTGTACAAACATGGTAGAAGTTGACACAATGCGCCGTCACGTGAAGTACTGAAAATATAAGACCACAAACATAGGCAAATGCTAAGAAATCTTGAGAAATCGCTTCTTCTAAAATTGATTACTTCACTGCATAATAGATAAAACTTTTAGAAGGGCTATATAGTCCGATATGCCATCCCTATTCTTATTTCTTTGAGATTTACTAGAAAGGTTCTTGGAAAATAACTTAAACTGGATAATTGGCATTAACGTACTTATATATAACACCATACACGATGAAGAAAAAATACAATATATTTCCAAAGCTGATATTTCCCTTTTCCCCGTAAAATTAGCATGGATAGCCCTGTCCCACAATTTTTATTATTTAATACTAGCATTCATAGGAATGACGGGTGGAATTTATAACATATTCTTATCCCTGTCTTTTTAAGGGCCATACAAGGAATAACTAGAATTAAAATACTGTATACTTGGTATTATAATAATCAAGGAGCAATATTCAACTTATGGTTACTAAAATTCAGATTTTCCTATGTTTGCATGTAGATGCAGACATAAGATGATCTTAATTTAATCGGGGTTGGGTTAACTAACTATGAGTATCTACAAATAAGCCGTGTCACGACAAAACCAAGATAGTGCGTTTGCGACCAGCATGGATCCAGACCAGCCTGCGCATCCGCGCAGTCTGATCAGGATCCATGCTGTTCGCTTACCAACCCTATTACAAGTAGAGAAATTGATAGTGAACATCATGGATCCTGATCAGACTGCGCGGTAGCGCAGGCTGGTCTGGATCCATGCTGGTCGCAAACGCACTATGATGGTTTTGTCGTGACACGGCTCAAATATTTTACACACGGGAAGTAATGATGCTTGCCACAGGATTAAACTTGTTAAAGCCATTTGACACATGTTGTCTAATTTTACCTGTGAAGACAAGTGAAATGCACGCTATGAATTTGTGAAGTGCATGAAAATAGTCAAAGGGCACGAATCTGTGAAGAAAAGTCTCTCTGAGGCCCGTTATGAGGTTTTTGCACATGGTAATAAGAAGTCCAGCGTAAGTAAACATGATGACGCTGGCAGATCCTCGACTCATTGTGACACCATGATTTGCTACCCGACGTAGCCCTCCATTTTCCCTCTCCACAGCATAATCTGGAATACATATCAACATAACTATCAATCAAGATGGACAAAATATAATTCTTGCCAAAAGTTACAGAAAGAATATAGTGATGACATTTCAGTATTTAAAAAAGAAGAAAAAGTATAGAATTATAAACGAAATCTAATGTATTACGTTAACAGAGATAGGGACAAAAGATCAAACAATAAAAGTCAAATTTCAAGTCATGGAAGTAATGAAGAAAATAATTCAAAATGTAAGATTAAAGTTATATACAGGTACATGTACATGTAATATTATCGGCAATTTCAAGTTTAAATACGTATCGAAGTTAAAAGTCATCCAAAATTTCATGTATGAAATAAAAGAGCTCAATCAAGGAATTTCACATAGAATCCAAAATATATCGCTCTCATTGTGCATAGTTAGGTATATATACCCAAGATTTTTAATTGTTTTCTTGTATAGTCTTTTTTCAGAGGAGCGTTTTTATTGAAATAAATATGGCTTCTATTTGTTCAGTTCAGTTTGTTTAAAATATCTTTTATGTTAAATAAGGATGACTTCCGACTACTTAATGATGAGTAAAAAAAATATTTGAAATTTATCGGATGGAAAATAATGTTTAAGTAAGGTTTTTGTAACTTATACGTACAGTAAGACCGTTCTACGAAAACACCTACTGTAACCAAGCAGTACAGACTGAGCCAAAACACGTGTAACCTGTAAGTTTCTAGATATCCCAGAATTCTTACAACAATATCCGGAATATTCTCATTCTTTAGATCAGTGAAGACTTTAACACGACTGCAAGAGATCAGACATGTTTACATGTATTTGATTTCATACAAATTAATACTAAATAAAAAGAAGTACTAAATCCAAGTGAAAAGCTTCAACTTAAACAAGCAGAGAATTGTGTCTGCATTCGACTTTATCATTAAATTTGATCTAAATAATTTTGTTTTGTTTTTTTGTTTAGATTTCAATTCACACGGACACTGTTAAGGTTATATAGCGACTTAAATGAGACAGGAAGATCTCATGTGCACCTTTGTTCATTAGTTATGGCACGATCCAACCGGCATTACGTATGCTAACTTGTGATATAACACAAGGTCCCTCCTAGGGTTTGAATGCATAACGGTAAGGGACCAATGATTTTAAGGTGACCTTAACCATACAGTCAGGGACACTTTACAAAATGAATCAATCAGAGTATGAAAAAATACCTTATTTACCTTTCAAGAAATAATTTAAATAATTTTATATTTTACGATACTATATATTTATCAAACAACATTAAATACCTGATTTGGGAGGGACTCCGTGCAAAAGTCGTATACTTGCCGGAAACCAGACTTGATTTTCTTGCCCCGTAATCTGTGCTTAATGTTCCTTGACCAGACACAACACTGACATTTGTAAAATACAATACTTGTACATGTACGTAAAACGTATATTAAGTTATGTTTATTCAAATATTATGATAATAAGTTTGCTTTATATAATTTTATATTCGTATGGCATCTGCCAAGGATGTGATTTAAAACTGTTATCTATCCGTTATTACGTAAAATATTAGAAAATGAGGCCTTGTACATCTTACATCTTTCAATCTGGACATAACCGTTGATAATTTTAGAGAAAATTTGAAAGAACATTGACCATTGCAGACCATGATCAGATCGCATGGACGTGTTGGATGATCTTGGTCTACACTCGTCGCATGAATCTATTTCCGTAAATTAAATCCGTAAATAAATAACAGTTATGACTATCTAAGCTAAATTCAATAATTTAACCTTGACAGCTAAGGTCATCTTCTGGTCAAGGTCAAATTTGAATTATTCAACATGTCGGTTTTATCATAAGTGTTCTTTTGTCTAAACATAATTCAATCCATTTATAAAACAAAGTTATTGCCAATTGTAGCAAAATTGACATGTTTGACCTTACGTGTAAAGGTCAAATCAAGGACAAGTTCAATTATCTCTTCTTAAATGTCTTGTCTCAATAAAACTATTGATTCATAGCTTACTGTTATTGCCAATTATAGCAAAAATGAATAAATAAGACAGTGAAATTCCAGTTATTTGAGCTTCAATGTCAATGCCATTCATGAGTGCGTCCTTGTCAAACTGATTTTGATGTACTTTATGCATTGACCTTCAGGTAGTTGTGTTCACGTATGAGGACAATTCATTGGTAAATAACAAAGCTACAACCAATTATAGCAATATTCAGTAATTTGACCTTCACGGCTAAGGTCATTGATGAGAGGTCAATTTGGTTTACATTAAGGTCCAGTCCTAAAGGCTGTTTTATTCGCTTATAATGACAATCAATTTATAAATAACGTTTAAATAAAGTTTCACCAATTATAGCAAACAACAAGCACAGTTAAAAAAAAATGACCTGAAGGTTATGGTGATTAATTTTATGAGTCATGGTTCCATTAAGAAATTTGAAAATAATGCTCAATGTTAAAGTTTCTAGACGGCATGGCAATGACAACATGATCGAAATATTCCTCCGAAAAAAAAATTGGGCTTAAAATAAAATGGGTGTTCAAAATTACCTGTAGCCACGGACCAATGTGCAGCGACGTTGCATCATTTTACTTCCAGCAGACGGCACTGCGAGGAACGCTGACTGGTCGTCGTCACCCTCATTCACAGCTTGTTACATAGAAAACAATAGCTCAATATTTATTTCAATCCATTAGAAATAGAGCACTAAAACAATCACGCATTTCTTATGCTACATATCCTTATTTCTAGTGATTAAATAAATAAAAAAGAAGAAATTTAAAATATCAAGAGTCATGGGTAGAATTTACTGAAATCTTACCATTTAATTCCATAGTTGCGTTCTTCAATGTTTTCGCATAGTTCCCGGATGTAAACACTTTCTTGAAATCGGCAAAAGTGACCTCAGATCCAGGTCTTAGACCAGCCGACTTATAGACGGCAGAAGTGAATTCAGACACCTGTTCATCCGTAACGTTGCTTTCAGAAAGATCTAAAAGCGACCTGAAATAAAGAAATACCGTCCATTACTAGACATATAATAAATGTGTTATTATTTCCCTTTAGTTTCAACAGCTCATGGATGCAAAGAGCCAGGCCAAAGTAAATAGCAGATTAAACATTAGTTAAAATCTGTTGATCTTGCTAAGAACTGTTTACGACATCCTTATCGTAATTACCACCAAAAGATTTCACAACAGACACTTTAGATAAACAAAAGACAGAAATAGACAAAGACGAAAATAAGTGGTGTAGTGCTCCAAACACAGTTGATGCCTTTGTATTTGAAGGTAACATGAAAATGAAGACGAAGAAAAATGAGTAAAGGTAAAACAGAAGAAAATATAATGAGGAACACAGACAGTTAATAGCATGGTAGCACAAACTAACTCAATCGTTTGCAACATTTATATCAATGTTTATTCAAAACGCTCTGTCTCTTACAGAACAGAAAAAGTACCAGAACACAGGCCTAGCAGTGGATTCAGAGGATGGAACGAATTCTGAACTTGTAATCAAAAGAGAAACAAATAAGAAGAGATAAAAATGATAGTGTTATAAATTAACTTAACTTACCTGATCATTTGGTACAGATCGTCTATGGTAAGATAGCCTTGTCTTTTGATGTCGTACATGTTAAACAAGAGCTTGGTTTTACTATCAGTGTCGTCTGTAAAGTGAAATATTTCTGATGTCAAAATTATGATAAAAATAGATATGAAATTGGACCTTCGGTAAAAAGATATTAAAAAGTGTTTAAGGGGACAGGTATTATTCAGAGAGTAAGACAGTGCAATTTATTTTCTCCGTTGTTAATGAAATAAGAGGAACAATATAATCTTTCATTATATTGTTAAAATAAAATACAGTCGATTCAGTGCACTTTGTTAAGTAACTTAATAATTTATAACATATCAATTCATTTCTTTAGCGAGAACTTTACAATTCTAAATTCTAAAGGTAAATCAATTCATAAAATTCGAACAGTGTAGATGTTGAATATTTATACCTACCTGACGAAAGCAAGATGAAAATATCCAGGAATTCCTTGAAAGACACGCGACCTGATTGGTTCGTATCTACCAAGAGAAACATGTGTTTAACAAAGGTGGAGTTTGGCTTCATGCCAAAAGCTTCACCAAATTCGGCTTGCGTCAGTTCAATGCGTGTCATTTCACTTCCAGTGTCTTCGACAGGACCGTAAAAATTTTCCTCCACATCTTGCTCGCCTTCATTAAACATCTAAAACAGTGAACTTTCTTCCTTTAGTTCTTTGATCAAACCGTTAATGTCAAAGAAATGCATTAACGTTACATTCTGCCATACTTCAGATTATAGGGACTACAACAAGATTTTTGACAAGACGGGATTGGAAATAAGTTTTTAAGATAATTGTTCAATTTGAGGTAGCTCTAACTTGCGTGCAAAATTTCAGAGCATTCGCTCACTCCGATATTCAAGAAAAAAATTCCAATCGTGAAAAATGGCCCAAAAGTGTAAAGCGTTGCACAGGTTTTTACTCTCAAATCTGGCTAAAATAGCACACATCTATTTCCTAATATATTTCTAAACTATCGTTGCAGACCTTTTTGTTTTAAGTGTCTCGGCTGGTCGATGTAAGAACATATTCAGTATCAAGTTTTATGTTTTCAGGGCCTCAAAAGAATTCCTGTAACATATGGGGTATTTTAGACATCGAAACGTACTATGTATCCATACACATCTTAATAACAATCGTATTGGCCCATTTGTTGGTATTTTAAAGTTGAAATCCCATTTATTTAAAATGAAATACATATTTAAAATTCTAAGCAGACGAAACCTATACAAGAACATTCTTTGGGTTAAAGGTTAAAAACTTATGCTAAGAACGGGGGAAAAAGCTATTATATTGAAAACTAGAAAAAAAATCTATACACTACTTACGCTTAGAATTTTTCGGAAAAATTTGTTTAGTTTTTCTTGTCTATGTTTCTTTGTATTCACGTTACGTAGAATGTATGATTCGAGCAAGTGTCTCTGTGTGAGTGAAAAGTTTTTATTGGTACTGAACGTTTCCAGTCTAGCAACAAACCGCTGTCGTTCATTCGTGTCATAGAACTTTAGCACCTGCAAAATACAATACAGTGTACATGAAAATCTTAAATACCAACAAATTTAGTCAGGCACGCTCATATATTTTGTCACATTTAGTGAATTACTAGTCACCATTTGGCAACTTAATACTATTTAAGAACATGATTGTTGACATGTCTGGGTCCGTACTCTCAGTGTCTGAAAGGGCGGATGGACCCTTATTAAACTTATTAAACGCGATCTAATTCGGCCAGGAACACTCAGAGATAAAAAAAAAAATAACGCTTAGCGTTGGATATCATTTTATCTAGTATTGACGTATACTACATTTTGTAATTGTGCAAAAGAATGCCTCTGTAAGATTGAACCAGGTTTAAATGAAATTACCAATTTAATACAAAGCTAAGTTATAAATACTTTAATTTGTCTTTTAAGCAATTACCATACTACTAGTATTTGGAAGTTATTGTAATATTTCATTATAAGTATTACTATTAATATTATTATTGACTTTACATCTTTCAATTTCTAATGCTTTAACAAAATAATGATTAATGTCTGTAATTTTTCACCTTACATAACAGAAGCTTTTAAAAAGTCTCTTCCCAAAAAATGACTTTTAAATCATGCGCAGTTTTCTTAAACTGTGAACTTACACCAACTTTTATACTTCTCAAATTAGCAATTTAGCGATAATTTTTCCCAATCTGGAGGCCAATGCCTCTTCCAAATTAAGTGAGGAAAACCGCTGAATGTATTATTCTTAAATTTAGTGATCTTAGTTGTGTTTCAACGACATTACGAATCACATGACATATTTAAAAAGAACAGATAGTATTCATAATTGCTGAATTAATTGTGACATACATACATGTTTATCTTTTTTAATACTTTGTTTTTATATGTAAACAATCTAAATATTGAAAAAGAATTAAAATCTCTGTAATCAACCATTGGAAAAGACTTGTTTTAAGGATTTTTTTTGCGCCAATAATATTCATCAACTCCTTTATGGAAATATACTAAAATAGCAGCCACTTGGAACCCTTGCCCTCTAAATCCGAGAGAATGACGGGATTTTGATATTTTTATTTTCACATTCTCACAGATCGATTGAACACCGAGTGTCTACGCAGTTCCATTTGGACATATCACCCACTATCTAGACCCACTGACCCGCCAGTGCAATGACGAACTACCGCTGTTCGCCGGGAATTGGACCAAAGTGAGAATGGGTTGGTGCAATACCAACAAGACAGTAAGAAAAACCATGCAACATCATACCAGGTCGTATTCTTGTAATTTGATTGCCAACAGATTTTCCGTTTTATCACTGGACAAATGGATTTCTATTGTCCCTTTCTGTAACTTGGCGGCCTGCGCAAGGTCTATGTAGCGTAAGAGTAACCTTTTAGTATTGAACACATCTAAACGTCCATCTTTGGGATCGAGTACCACAAACACATACCTGTCCAGTTCGTCCCAGTCTACCCATTCTAACGCTGTAAATATAAACTATTACTGACTGATCATGCGTAGAGAAATCATGAAAAATTTACTGCTTACGAATATTGATACGACATAATTCGCATCAGATTGTTATAAGGGAGACAACCCTGGCATGTCATGTCATATTTATACATGTACCAGTTTTCTCCCTTTACCAGTCAGGTGTCTTCTGAAAGGTTTTGTTTTGAGACAGTCAATCATGAAATTCAAATATAAGCAATTATGTACCTTTGAACTCATTCATATTTGAAGAAGTTGTTTTCTGTAAAGGTTGTTGAAGTTGTCTCGACTTGAAAACGCTATTTCGTCTGTGCCATGCCAATAAATACATTGTCAGGAACGTCACTGTCAACAGGAAAAAATCTAAATTTTGTTTTCATAGAAAGCTATGGTGAAAATCATGTTCTCTTTATTTACCCAAAAGACCATAACTATGCTCCGAAGTGTGATCATTTTATGTTCTCTTCAGTAAGATAATAATGGTGATTTATATGAAAATTAAAGACCAATTATGCCCCAGAAATGAGTTTTATTTTCATTGCTCAAAGGTCATTTATTTTTGGTGTCCAGATATAGTTTCCAAAAAGTTAATCGTTAGCCCATATTTTGCTTCAGTTGCCTTTTGACCATACTTACAGTATTGATTTAGTATTTTGTATACTACTTTGTTTACATTTTGCTACATTTATGACAAATAAATTCACAATGAATGCTACTTTTGTGAAGATAATATGCATCTAACATGCTCCAATACCATTATTTCAACGTTATAAGCTGATGTTTACTCTTTGTAAAGAATGGAAAAATTTATTCGACTCTGAGGCTTATTGTGCCTTTAACAATATCGGCAATATGTGCACGATAAAACAAACTTGGTTTTGTTTGTTTGTTTCATTTTACGCCTTTTCCCAACAGTATTTCAGTCATATAGGCGGGTAGTTTCCTAACCATCGTTCCTGGAGAGTTACACCAATACTAGACTACCTTCCTCCGCGCGAAACTACCAAAGCATCTCCCGGGGATCGAACCCACGCCAGAGAGGTAACTGGATTAGAAGTCATCTCGACCACGGAGGCGGTAACAAACTTAGTACAATAATAATTAAAACATAGATAATAAATTTCTAATGTGCTTCATTTATAATTTCATTTATTTTAAAACCCCAAAAATCTTTACAAGAGTTTTTTTTATCGGCATACGTATATAATTTAAATATGAGTGTGTTTTCATAACGCTTACGCGGTATACATGCGGCTGCCACAACAAACGTGACAGCAAATGACACTTCACTTCCGGTAAAATAATCATACGTCTCTAATGGTGTACAGGGCTCCAGTAAACCGTCCTCCTCGGTATTCAGTTGTCTGGGTTGTTCTAGACAACCAAACCCTATGAAAATGAGAAAACGCAAGTTTCATAGTGTCCAGCATTACCAATGAAATTCCCAGTGTTGGGTGATTAAATGGTCTTTAACTACGTAAGGTTTTGAAATTTACAAAAATGACGTTTAGGCCTACAGTATGTGTTCTACCTTCCATAAAGGTTTAACTGCTGAAAATCAGAGCAAAGAACTTTTATTAAATGTTTCAACAATGACATATTTAAATGGTTAAAAAAAGTTGGATATACTTAAGTTTGTCTGGTAAACTTACGATCAGCATCTGTAAATAGGAAAACATTTCTCTGTATATCGTGCTCTATTCCTGTAGTGGCAGTTATAACATCAACTAAATCTGTTCTCCAAACGTCATTTAATTCTCTCTGACTCAATCCACTGAAATAGAGTACATGTGTAACAAAACATCAACAAATAATATACTAATAAAGTATTTTGTTATTAAAAGTTATTTTTTATCTTGTGTGCATCGGAGCATTCTTGAAAACATTTCGGTCCTACAAGTAAATACTAAATCTTTATACTTTACAAGAATTTAGTGCTCGCAACACAAACTGCATACAGGTCATTACAGCTAATCAAAGCACCAACATTTTTAGTACAGCGACTGTTGCTATGCCAAATCCTGTAGGGTTCCAGTGGGTGCACTATTCGTAGTTGTTGCCATATAGGGCTCCTTCGGGACTTCGACGCTTGTCAAAGCTGTACAGCTTCTTTAACTTCTGTAGTGAAGTGTACAAACATTAAGTTTTTTTCACTTATTCGTTTATATTCCCTTAAAACGGACTCAGATTTGATATAGTTATATAACAAACCTTTGTTCGGTGTTTTCGAACCACAGTCGATCACCATGACGTATTCGGAGGAACTGCTCTATTATAATTGTTTTAAATAGTTCCCCGGGTCCGGTTGGCACCGTCTCAAGCATGCCACCAGTAAAAAGATCAACATTCTCCGGACCTGTTCCATTTGTATACAGCTTTTTCAATCGTTTAATTTCCTGTTAGAAATAAAGAAAAAGAGCGAAATCAATTTATATCTCTCTCAAAGTCTTATATACATGTATGTATGCAATTCTTTATTTATTTACAAAACACAGGAAAAATACCTGAAATTACTACAATACATAAATGAAAAAGCATTTATTACTAAACATTATTGTAATGTGCAGCTTTCATAGTTGATACATATATTACGTAAACATACACGTTTTATTTCAACAAATAATTTTATATTTTATTATAAATATCATAACAAAATGTTTTCAACTTCACAATTTTAACTTCTTGAATTCCCGTTTAGAACTTCACGATATCAACTTCTTGTATTCACGATTACAACTTTGTGAAATTGAATTCGTGAAGGGGAAATCGTGAGTTCGTGAAGCTGAAATCGTGAATTTGTTAAGTTGAAATCGTGAAGTTGAAATTGTGAATTCACCATGATGAAATCGGGAATTTATGAAGTTGAAATGTCCCCACCGGTCTTTAATTCACAATGGTTTAGTTTAAAATTATCGTTTTCTCAAGTCCGATTGTGAAGAATGCTTACTACATAGGTTAATTAAACTATTTTTACTTTTTTAGTCCGTTTAACAAGCACATGTCTTATATGAGGAAGCATAGTCATGAATCTAGAAGGACCCGAATCCATGACGGTAGAGACACTTTAAGAAATAGACCACCGCTCTAGAAAATCTGTTTTAATGCTAAAATGTCGCCAAAGCATTAATTACTCCTGTAATTACGCCTCTTTGCCATTGTCATAAATTTACGCTATATACAATAATAAGAATTATGTATCTATTTTAATCAATAAAAACAAATTTGATTTACATTTGTATTGTGTGACGGGTTTATATCTTCCCATTTTTCTATCTTCTTCAAACCGTAACTTTCACGGACTGTGTTATAGTCTGAAATACCGTGGTCTCTGCCTCTCTAAAACAGAAAAAGAAACAAAGCCTGGTTCAACATTACATTTCTATTGTTCACGATGCAGCTATGGAATAGGTCTGTTACAAATTAATTCAACATTTTTGTTCTTAACTGTCAGAATATTTGCGAAACAGCTGTGGATGATTATTTATAAAATCGTTATGAACGTTTTATTAGATTTTTGAAAAATAAAATTCAAACCCTTTTCGTTCAGAAAGTAATTTTGATAATCTTAAATTTGCCTTTCTATTTAACTTTTCTTTTTTACGCAAATAAAAGCGAAAATTTTCCTCCACCGGCAAAATGAAAATAAATGTATTATTATCAGTATATTGTTATTTTAAATGGCCAAGCCAGTATTAAATACCAACTTGAATTACACGTATGAAATGAAAGAAAAGAAAATAAAACAACTTATAAAATATCAAGTACCTGAATGTTTAAAGCTGCCAGATCTCGTTTTGAAAATTCTAGAGGTCCGAACAAACTTTCTAAAATGTTTATAGAAATTGTGAAGTTATTGTTTTACATAAAAACAAGTACATAAAAATATCTTAAACAATAAGGGATCACTGATTATTTGGTAAAACTATCAATGAGATCTTGCACAGACTGTAACACTGTATATGTGTCAATGAGATTATATACAACTACTCATTACTTAAATATATTAAATCACACGCAATGTATAATATCCAATTGAAATAATACACAATGTTTTATAACCAGTGATAAAAGACACTATGTATTATAAATATAGTCACTGATGGCAAATACAATATCTTATTTCCAATCTCTGTCTTGTAAATATAACCAATTAGAGCAAATACAATACATGTATTTCATTTCCAATAAGATCACAATGTTTAATTATAAATGAAATAATATATATTATATATACAAGAACCAATGAGATGATACATAATATATAATGACCATCAAAGATCATAGATAACTAAAATTACCAATGACATTATACACACTAAGTTATAATACCAATTAGATCATATACAATAATATTTTGGCATGACCAATGTGGTTATACATAATGTGTATAAATACAAGACTTAGTAACATCAACATGGAATCACAAACACAAGGTATTGAAAACTGAGGGATCAAACACAACGTTTAGTTACCAAATGTATGAGATTTTGAAGAATATAAAATTACAAATAATCTCACATACAATTCATTATGTCATTTCACTTAAGATCATATAAAAATGTTACCTTATAATGTGTACTGTTGTAATCTATAGGACCCTTTGCAAATTGAAATTCCGAATGTATAATATTGTAATGAAAATTTTAACTCTCATCTTGTTAGCGGCGACATATTCTGTCCATGAGACCAGTTCAGACCAAGATCAGCCGGTACATACGTGCTGTCTGATAAATGTCTGTCATTGTCCACTTTTAGGTCAGTACATATTTTTAAGTTTTCTCTAAAACGTTGATGATGCTCCTGTCCGAAATGAAAGGCGGACAACTCCTTTTTTAAGATCAAAATTATTTTATGCAAGGGGAAGCAACGAGTACATTATGGAGTGGGGACAAAATTTTAAAGGTCGAACAAAGCCTAACCACCTGTGAGATCAGGGGGAAAAGGATGGGGCCTTCTTTGGGTATTTTTTGCCCTTCCCCGAAAAAAAATCTAAATCTTTTTCAACGTCTCCTACAGATACACAACAAAAAATTTTTGTATAGCGCTTTACATTTTAACCTTTTTTATTTAAACCCAAATTTCCCAAATTCTTTCGTTACGTGACCCAACCATCGGTTCGTCATTTGGTTTTTTTGCTAAACCCCAATTTTTTTCCCTTTAAGAAAAGGGGGACAAGTAAAAAAAGTTCTGATTTAAACAACATAAAACATAAAATGAAATAAAAGGGCCCAAATGTCAAACAGAAAAAAACGTCTAGATGATTTAAAAATTTATCTTGTAACTTTTCAACCCTGCCCGTCAAACTTTGGATTAGAGTCATTTTGGATTTAACTCCCTACAGTGTTGAAGCTGTACCATAAAACCTTGGACATTATTTATTCAATTTCTAATCTTAACAATACATTAATCAATATACGAACAAGGTATTAAAAAGTAAAGCACAATCTTTATTTATTTATTATTTATTTATTTATTTATTTATTTATTTATTTATTTATTTATTTATTTATTTATTTATTTATTTATTTATTTATTTTATTTATTTATTGCTAAAACAAAATAATATAATGGAAATTGTTCCTTTTTTAATTATGCTATAGTTGATATTTCAATAAAACTGGCTGATATATTTATATACCCTAGAGTTCCAGTAACTGTTACATAATCTCAGAGCCTTGTACTGCCTGTAAGATTCGGGGTCTCGACTGTGTAGGAAATTACAGGTACCTGTCCGTCTATATAATAAAAAAACGAATTAAATGTCGTAGCTTTTATTTTAGTTAACATTTTTCATTGGTTTAAAAAATAGCATACCAATTTCTTATTCGGAATAAAGATTAAAGTATTTCATTGTTTAATACATGCATCGGTGACAAAAGGATCAAATAGTAAATCAATTCTCGGCATGATTATTTCTTTATTGTCATAAAAATGCTTCTTTTAACACAAGCAAACAATGACTGGTGTGAGAGTATAAAAAAGTATAAACCCAGCCAATCGTATATATACTACTGCATTATTGTCTATTGTGTATTTGAGTTTCTTCATACTCGCCTCCGGTTGCCCATATATGTGCGAGTCTTTTGGTAGAGTATAATTAAGAAGTAATAAAAAAATAGCTTAAGTCAGATTGAATGAAAATTATACTGACCTCCACAGTCCAGGTGTAACCAAAGTGTGACCGAAACGCATCGCTGCCGTTTGAAATTCTTGGAAAATACCCGGATGTACGCTCGGATTGTAACCATTGTATACCTTTGTTTCTGTAATGATAAATTACTTTGTTTAAACCTTTATAGCTCAAGTGATTAATGAAAGAACTGGTTAAATAACATTATGAAACATTTTGTTATAGTTCGAAATGAAGAATTACCAAATAAAAATTGATTTCCATGTAACCGTCTCCATGAAATCGTCTGTTTATCGTCTCATTATATATACAAAAGTATTTACTTCAAAGTTTCATGTTCTGTATAAAAAAAAATTCCCCACGGAAACTCAAATGCGCGTCTCCTATATGAGTGCCAGTCATATGTGACCGAGTTCCCCTGTTGGGTTCGAATCCCGGGTGGAACATTGGAAAATTTTGTTCAAGGAAGCAGGTACCCGTATTTAACTTGAAAAATGCACGGGTCATATAAGGTTTACCTCCACCATCAAACCTAAAATATCGTTATATGACATGAAAAGTGTCAGTGGATTTAAAAAAAACAACAAAAAAAACCCCATAAAAATGATAAATCTTCAACAAATAAGTTATTGTCACCATTAGTTGCTTGCATATAAGGATATTTCTGCTTGAAATCGAATGGTGTAACACTGGTATCCAGCCATACTGGTAGCCAATCGTAAAACACTATTTTCTGAAATACAACATGAATACCAAATTAACACAGTTAATAACTATCATCATTGGTGGAATATTAATTTCAAACTTTATGCAAACATGTTTGCAAATGAACGTATATTCTTAATAAACTGCATTGCTATGGTAACGAAAAAAGCTTTCATAGAACGAATATATGCGATCAGTTTCTTAATAAAAAGAAGATGCATTACTAGTAATCTAGTAGGTTCCATAATTTTCTGGCAGGCTGCGTGCATGCATGGTTAGAGTCCAATCGGCTGATATTAACTTTAATTTTGTCATAGATGAAATATTTAATTTGTGTTATTGAGTTATTTTTACCAGCTCGACAAAAATAGAAAAATAACTTAGGATGTGAAAACAGATAAAAAAAATGAACCAAGAAAGCTATCTGGAGCAGACGACAAAATTTATTCACCTGATACTGTGCAATCACTCTTTTTCTTGCAATATTAAAAATCTGTTCGTCTGTAAGCGATGAATTTTCAGCCGCTATTTGGTCAGCTATCAAATTATGCCATCGGAACCAAAGAATTCCAAATGATAATAAAAATGGATTTTCGTGACCACGCGGATTCCCTATTGCTGAAATACAAAAAAAATAGTTTCCAGTTTGTAGCTGGGATATAAACACATGAACGAGAACTTATATCAGCCGTTTAACACTCAGTACTGAGTATTGTAATAGAGGTAAAAATTCTGCTTCTGTTCAATGATCTCAAGCCTAATATGACAAGGGCATTGTCACACTACAAATTGAAATATACAACCAAAATTCAAATACTGGCAATAACTTAATTTAAAGACAAACACCAAAGAGTTTATTTTATGTTTTTAGTCAAAAGCGTACAATTTTTGTAGCTCATATTGGGTGTTAACCCAGACAGATGGACTAAGGTCAAACCTACATATTGAATAAAATTGATATTTTAAAGGAATAAAAATAAATTTACGCTGTGTATTTACGTAAGTTTGCCATTTAAACTTGAAAATATGTGAATTCATGTAAATATTTAAATTGTAAATGATGAGTAACGTACCATGAAATCTTGATACTGGTTCAAGTTTATGTGTCCTTGCTACAGGTGGGTTAGCGAACGGGAGTCGTGCTGAGTTGTTGACTGGAAATTGGCTAGGGGTCGATGCTAGACGTCCACCTTTGAAAGACCTTAACGCGTCCGCCCATGCCTTGTTTGGACCATATATAACTTGTCCGTCAAGAAACGGTGTAATTTCATTCAACTAACACAATTTGTAAAGAAAATAATGCAAAAAATACAAAAAAAGAAGTGTTATAATTTCAATTATTTTCATTTTGCAGCATGGTGTGCTTACATAGCGCCGTTTTATTGTAAGAACTTCTTTATGAAAAGATGAATGATGTCGAATCTTCACGAATGGTTATTATTATTATGGTTGTGCATACTATTTGTACATGCGTGTCCTCTAAAACAGTTGTAATCGAAAGTTGAATTTGAAGATAGAAACATAACACATATAAATTTGATAAAATTTAGATTATAATATATGTTTGTAACAGTTTCATGAATCATGACTCAAAATAATAATCATGTTTTGCTAATCAATAAATATCATGAAAAATGAAATGGTGACATCTATTTTTGATACGATTATTCACGTTTTGTTGGTTGAAACACGCACATTCTACAAAATTAGGAAGTAACCTCGATAATTTAAAAGAAGTGGCTGTTGAACTAAATTCTTAAAACCAACATTTTTACCCATTACAAACGGGACGTCATTTTTAGTGTTTTCCTTTTTGTATTGTGAATTTGATATTTCATCACGATTTTCACTTGTGAATTATTAGGTGTGAATATTTTACCTGTTGCCTTGGGTTGTTTGGAGAATATCCGGTCCGTTGGTCGTAACGAGTTCTTCTAAACGTCATTTTGACATTACCTTTATTCGAAGGATCGAACTTTGGATGGCCTTCAGGGACAGG